TCCAGAAATTAATTGGATTGTTATGATTCTCTGCATTGCCGTGTTAAAAATCAAAACCAAATTGGCAATGCCTCCGGTAAGTTTAACCAAATGTAGCTTATCTTATTTAAACACATATCTTCCCTTGTTAATATGTGTCTAGGTTGAAATAGGTATTTCACCAACTAACATTAACATAATCTTACGTGTTGCAACAGGGACGGCAGTTTGTATAGTAATGTTGGTAACCACATTGCTTATGATTTTAGTCATGATATTAGTGTGGCGCTGCCACTGGATTCTTGTCCTGATTTTCACTGGCTTGTCATTGGTTGTGGAGGGCACTTACTTTTCTGCTGTGCTTCTCAAGGTCAATCAAGGTGGCTGGGTTCCTCTTGTGATCGCAGCAGCCTTTTTTGTCATCATGTATATTTGGCATTACGGAACAGTAAAACGCTTTGAGATTGAGATGCATAGTAAGGTTTCAATGGCATGGATTCTTGGACTTGGTCCCAGTTTAGGACTGGTTCGTGTACCTGGGATAGGCCTTGTGTACAGTGAGCTAGCAAATGGAGTGCCCCGCATCTTCTCTCACTTTATCACCAACCTGCCCGCCATCCATTCTGTTGTTGTCTTTGTCTGCGTGAAGTACCTTCCTGTCTGCACAGTCCCGGAAGAAGAGAGGTTCCTTGTTAAGCGAATTGGACCCAAGAATTTCCACATGTTCCGTTGTGTTGCAAGGTATGGCTATAAAGACGACCATAAAAAGGATGATGATTTTGAGAAAAAGCTCTTTCAAAGCCTTTTCATATTTGTCCGGCTTGAGTCCTTGATGGAAGCGTCTTCAGACTCTGACGTATCTAGCTTGCTTGAGCAACAAACTAAGCAATCAGAAGATGGCCTGTTTTGTAATAGCAGCAATATACTTCACTCTGATGTAGACCTGTCAATTGCGTCAGTGGACTCGATTGTGCCTGATGATTCTCCCTTGCATTCAAACAACATGACCTCCTTCGTTCCGGCAAGCAGCAAGGTGGAGACTGATGAGATAGAATTCCTGAACAACTGTAGAGATGCAGGGGTGGTGCACATGTTGGGAAATACCGTAGTAAGAGCTAGGAGAGAATCAAAGTTTTGGAAGAAGATAGCTATTGATTACCTATATGCATTTCTTAGGAAGATATGTAGGGAAAATAGTGTAATGTTCAACGTTCCTCATGAGAGCCTCTTGAATGTTGGACAAGTTTTCTATGTATAGCATTCACATCTTGTAATGACTGAGGTATGTTTTGTCATGGTCTTAGCAAGGAGAGATTATTAGGTAGCACGGTATTATCAGGTGGCATTTTCCGGATTGCAGTACAGACGAATAATGGGACGACACTTGGGCATCAAGAACTTTTTCAACCATGTTTCTTTAATTTTGTTTATGTATCAGTATTCATTACCCCCTGCCTTTGTCATCTAGGATTTCATTGAAAAAACACAAAAAAAACCGTATTTCAATGTAAGAATTCAGCAATGCTAGTTTTGCTCAAGCGAAAATTCAAGGGGTAGTTTATGCCAAGTTTTGCTCAAGAATCACTATGATTGAGACCAGAAGAACATAAAGTTAACTTGATCGAGACAAGTTAACACAAGTGTGGAAACATTCAAGAAGATCACGAGTCATGACCACAAGTGTGGTTGGGTATGTTGTGAGCATGTAAAGAATTGTCACATATTTTTCACCGTATTTCATTTGTACTTCTTTCGTAATCTATTTTACTAAGGTTAGTATGCAGTCTTGTCCAAATCATATTGCGTCAGCTTTAATATATTTTCAAGCACATGGATACTTTTTTTTTCCTTTTTTTGTGTGAAGTGGGGACCAAAAGCCCAGAAACAAAAAACTTAAGCTAAATCATGGGATTCATAATTTAAAGAGATTGAAAACCACAGAACTATTATTATAATAAGACCCCCTCACTGTCAAAGAGACCTTAAATTTTCCCAAATAATGACTTCTCCCTCCTTATTAAAATTATCTTCTACTTGCTCTGACTATTCTATTTTATGCTCATTTGATCAATTTGTACAAATTCTCACGTGAATTTTTTGAGGAATTGGAATGACTAAATCCCCTCAGAAACAAAAACTTAATGAACATATGTGTCTCTCATGTTCTTATATTCTGATATGTGGGCGCCAATCCTTATTGGATTGCGTGTATAAAAAAATGCGCGCTCTAAATCTTAGGCATATTTGCTGTGTATATTTGGCATTTTCTTGTGCATTTAGAATCTTTGCATGCATAACCGTTACTTGCTAAGCATGGTAATTGGTGGGTTCGACGAATAGCACGCTCTCTATACTCCGCAATTTCATGTGCACATGGTAATTGGTGGGTTCGACGAATAGCACAACCACATGATAAAGCATCCACCCCATCTATCTCTAACCTGATTGCAAAAAAAGTACAATGTTAACTCTGTAAACCATATATGTACATGCAATAAGTAAACTGAATTTACCTTTCTAACTCGCACACAATTACACTCAAAGCCTTTATAGAAACAAAACCTACTAACTCTCTCAACTCCGGATGCCTGAACCTATGTTGAATAAAACATCGACTCTTTTCAAAAGATGCCTTAATCTCTGTGTGCTCCAGCTCTAACAATGAGTGTATAGTTACCCATGATCTCTCAAAGTTAAGTTGGCTTGAGCGGAGCTGTCGCTTCAACTTTGCATGTGCACTTTCCGCTCTGTTGATAACAATAATAAATTTTCCTGAAGCAAAATAAATTTTCAAATTAACATATCAAAAGTTGACTAAAATACTTACCTATTTGAGGTCGTCGATCCAAGATGCATACAAGTGTCTGTCCATGCGGCCACAAACCTATCCTTAAATGGATTTAACCAATTTTCATGTATGTATTCAAGAGCTTTTTGAAATTCACTAAACTTAGACTCAATCTGTCGCAAACAACGCCAATATTCCTCCTCCGTTTCTGAACCAACCAAAGTATTCCAATCCTCATTAAATTGCTTCCATTGTTTGAGGGTCCCAAATAACTTCTTGCAGTTTGCCAACACTCCTTTGTTAATATGCCATCTACATAATAAATGTCGTGCTTTCGGAAATATAGACGTAATAGAATTCAAGAGTGCTAACTCTCGATCGGTGACAATAACACCAGGAAGACAATTATCATCCAACAAACTCCTCAACGCAGTCAATGCCCATGTGTAATTGTCTTCCTTCTCAGCATTCATATACACATACGCAACAGAGAATGTCATATTAGTAGATGTCACCCCCACAATTTGCAATAGTGGGAAACGATACCTATTAGTCTTATAGGTGCAATCCATGATAAGTACATGTGGAAATGCGCGCAAAATATCAATATTAATGGGGTGTGTCCAAAACAGGTCAGTTATAATATCCCCAGATGTCCTATGCCACTCAATATAATTTTGTTCGGATAACTTAGTAAGCAATTGTTGCATTTGGGTTCTCCCAGCAAATTCTTTGGTTCTATTTCGGATCCTAGCATTGTATATTGTCTTCATAGTTGAAACATTCATTGCATCTCTATCTTTAATGGTGACCAAAATATCTCTGGGTTTCACCAAACTCTTAGACATGTCCACCAACAAGGCATTCTCCTCTTCAGTAAGTCGCCCCACAAATGAATGACCTTGAAGATACTCTGAAATAGGATGGTTGTGTACTCCACAAACCACCTCCAACTTCCAATCATCCCCATCACCAATATTGACACCTTTTAACAAGAATGGGCATCCACATTTCTTGGTACCAGTGTCTCTAGCACATTTTTTCATATCACTATTTGCATCCGATCTTATATCAGTTGTCTCACTAGACTTGCAAGACTTATAGTTACCGTTCCTCTCACAAGCAAGTATTACACGAGGTCTCCTCTTGCCCTCACCTCCATAATCAGACCTTTTAATTACAATGACAATATTATTCAATTTTCCTTGTTCACGAGCCCATCGAAGTAATGCATCTCTACCATTAAATATCTACACATAAAACTCATATTATTTAAATACAAAATTTGAAACATTAATGCCACGTTAATGATACTAAAAAGGATTTCAGATAAATAATTACCGAATAAGTTGTGAATTGATCACTATAGTCCATTACACATTCTGTTCCCACATTGTTGCCTTCAGTAGGGGCGTCACCTTGATTTTGTTCCTTCAATGGGAGTAAGATCAAAATAGCTTGGATTAAATTTGTGGTTGGCAATAAGTTACTGAAAAAATAAATAAATTTCGGTTGGATGCCACTGAAACGCGGGTAAAATTTCGGTAGTACCCCACTGAACTACGTTCCATCTTACGGTGGATCCCCACCGAATATTAAGTTTCTCACCGGTGAAATCCAACCGAAAAAGATGCAAAGTTTCGGTGGCATCCCACCGAAATTATCTGTCGCGTTCGGTACTGATGTGCTGAACACAACCAGCGACTGTTATGAAATATTAAACTTGCAAAACGCCAAAAAATAAACTCGTACCTCATTCGAAGCGTCTCTAACTTCAATCTCACCCTTCATGAATAAATACAATATATTTTTTCACCAGTATAAACTTATAAATCTTGGGTTTAGGGTTTAGGAACATGATAGTTTGAGAAAAAAGTCAAACTAGGGTTGCAGGAACATATGTGGGGTGTAGTGAGCAATTTTAATTTTAATTTTAATTTTTTTTGTCCTTAACGGTAATTGTGTACAAGGGTAAAATAGGTTATTTATATTTAAAATTAGTATGGGGTGTAAAGAGTAATTAATGGGGTGCCAATAGAATCACCCTTTTACCAAATGGAAAGAAAAAAAAACAATTGCAACTGAAATTTCTTTCAGCATTGAACGAGTTATATCACGTGATCGTACTCTAACGTCACACTATAATTTTAAAAAAGGAAAGAAACAATATTTACACTCTGTCATAACGAGAAGGGCCCTAACTAGAATAAAGAATTACTCTTTGCTCTAAAGAATGGCCGCCTCTGTTCATCTTTGTCACCCTTGTGGTATGCTTGATGGGTACTTGAAGTCTTCAGGGCTAAACCCACCTTGGGAATATCACTTACAACCAAGTAAGAAAGCCACTGAAGGTTTCGTTTTTTCTTTTTTTTCCTTCTATATTTTACATTTTTTTTTAATGGAGATTGTATATGCTGGGTGTTCTTGGGTTGTCATGGCTTAAAGGGAGTTCTGGATTTTTGTTCATTTTTGGTGTACCGCTTAGATGTTTTGCATTAGGTTACTGCTGAGATGTTTTCCTGGTAATTTGCTAGCAATTCAAAAGCAGAAGAATCTTCAAATTTTCAACACTGATATCTGTTTTGCATTAGGTTCAGTCAGCTTTCAATATAGAGGGAGGCCAAGAAAGCGCAACTGGGGCATTGAAAAAACTTGGAGAGGTGAATTGGAGGAAGGGAGGGAGAATCATTTGAATTGTGGAGATGCAAATGGCTAGAAGAACGCCTGCTGATGAAAACACTGATAATAATAATAAAGGTAGCGTCTGGGTTTTGGATCAGCCCATGGATGAGGAGGCTAAAAGGCTTAGAAATATGTACACGGAAAAGGTATTATCTTTCTCTCTCTCTCCCCCATTCTGCAGTGAACTGTTTCAAAGCGCCTAACTTACCCATATCATTAGAAATGTCAAATCTGATGGCTTTGAATTTTAAAAATCTGGCAGTCAATTGAAGTTTGTGTGTTTAGGATCAGTTAAGTAGCCTTTCTCTTGTTGCTGATTTCCTTGCAGAAATATTCGACATTAATGCTTCTGCAGCTTGCATTTCAAAGCCTTGGTATGGTGTATGGAGATTTAGGCACATCTCCTTTGTATGTTTTCTACAGTACATTTCCTGATGGAATTGGTGACCCAGAGGATTTAATTGGAGCTTTATCTGTTATTATCTATACTCGCCAAATATATTAGAATATTTTAAACGTATAGCCGGTCGGCTATACTTTCGAATATTTTACAAGAATTTTAATAGTATAGCCATTCGGCTATACACTTGAAATGTTAATATATTCGAATATTTTAAGATTATAGCCGCACGGCTATACTCTTTAAATATATTCGAAACAAACATGAAGCTTGCACTCGCAGAGGACGGAGGTTGCAGTCGAAGTTTCGCTTCTCTATCAACTCAAACTTCGATTTGTTTTCTTCGGTTTTGGCTGCTTCGTCCTCCGGGTTCGGCAACGAAAAAAGACCCAACCCGCCTAGGAGGCCCGCCCAGCCGCCTAGCGCCCGCCTAGCGCCCTCCTAGCTGCAGAGGACGGAGGTTGCAGTCCAAGTTTCGCTTCTCTATCAACTCAAGCTTCGATTTGTTTTCTTCGGTTTCGGCTGCTTCGTCCTCCGGGTTCGGCACCCAAAAAAGACCCAACCCGCCTAGGAGGCCCGCCCAGCCGCCTAGCGCCCGCCTAGCCGCCTAGCGCCCGCCTAGCCGCCTAGCCACCCGCCTAGGCCGATTTTTTAGAGTCTAAAGCACAAGATGCCGAGGATAGACTCGAAACGGTTGCCTCTCAGGCTCAAAAGGTCATGCACTGATGTACTCAATCCATCTTTGGTCTATGGCTATGAGTGTGTGATGTTGTTAGTGTGGTGTTCATTTTGCCATTGGCTTCTTTCTCTTTGCTTTCAGATGGCTGACATTGTTACAGAACAATGGATTCAAATTCAGCGGCTTAAGCAGGCTCTTCATATTACACAAGTATGTTTTTTCTGCTTGAAACTGGCTTCAGGTTCTTTATTTGCTAAATTCATAAGTTTTGCTGATTCACTAATATTTGCTAGTTTCTTCTTGGTTGGACTGCTTTTCATTCTTTGGATATTGCATTTCTGTTATAGATTTTGACATTTGATCATGCCCTCTTGTTTGCTGAGAAAAAAAAAGAAAAAAAGAAGAAAGATTTGTCTCCTCCTCCTGTTGCATAGGAACCCAAACCAACGCACCAAAGGACAGAAAAAAAATTTGAAATATTACACCACCTCAAGTGAAAAATCTAATATTCATTTAAGCTTTTATATTTGTTCTTGTATCAGCATCTGTGTTTCTGTTGTGTGAACTCCACCTCAACTCTAAAGAAAACAAATATAAAAAATTAGAGGGTGCATTTGCTAAAGCATGGGTTGGAATCTCTTCATTATATTTAACTTTTCAAACCGACTTCAAAAGCACCAAATTAACATCCCAACATGAAATATCGTTTATTGAGCCTCCCTTAGTGTAAAAGGACTGTGACTTGCTTATTTATGTAATTTTGTTTTACACAATACCCACATTCAACCTGCATAATGTTCTTAGAGAATTAAATCATAAGGGAAGTTATTACAATACCCTTGCACATGGAGCAATCTTTATCGTGATTTCTGAAAACTATTCTTTTTTCATTTCTTTTTTGTTTCTTTTCTAAATGATAAAAGGTACTTCCTTGATCATATTCTATTCGGTACCCATGCATAATACTTAATAGATTCATACTATCTTTTGCAGTTCTGTCAGCAGTTGGTGGGATCAACGTGGGCCACTCTAAGATTAGTAATGGTATCTCCATGCTTTTGGATATGAAGATTTCTTTTCATTTATTTTGTCAAGTTTGTGACTCAATGTATCATTTTTTCCAAATCTAATTATAACTACACTTTGGTGTACAGAGGTGGTTGTGCTTGTTGCTGTTGTTATACTGGTACTTTTGTTTAGCATGCAATACCATGGTACAGATAAAGTTGGTTGGCTGTTTGCACCCATTTTACACCTTTGGTTTCTCTTAATTGGAGGAATTGGCATGTTCAACATTTGGAAGTATGAAAGTAGCATTTTAAAAGCTTTTTCACCTGTATATGTATATCGATTTTTTAAGAGGGGAGGAAAAGGTGGGTGGACATCTCTCGGAGGTATTATGCTTAGTATAACAGGTAAATGTTCTATAGGCATGCATTGTCCTTTTTTATGATCTTTAATTTTCATTTTTGAAATTCAAGTGAGTTTGTGACTTTTCCCTGAAGAGTGGTTGTGAACATTTACAGGAACAGAAGCACTTTTTGCTGACCTATCCCATTTCCCAGTCTCGTTCATACAGATTGCTTTCACGTTAGTTGTATTTCCATGCCTTCTATTGGCCTACTGTGGTCAAGCTGCATACCTCGTGAAAAATTCAAATAACGTGATCGGTGCTTTTTATCATTCCATTCCAGGTTTGTTTGATCTCTTAAATATAACATAAACATTTACGCTTAGGTGTTTATTGTTTATGTAAGTAGAAGCCTGTTATTCAAGAAAACTCCTTAAAGTTTACATATATTTTCAGTGGCATGAATACTCCATGTTTATGGTAATCTATTGCTGAAAGATGCTGATTAATCTTTTTTGCAGACAACATATATTGGCCTGTGTTTATTGTTGCAACTGCAGTTGCTGTTGTTGCAAGTCAGGCCACCATAACTGCAACTTTTTCATTAATCAAGCAGGCCCTTGCACTAGGCTGTTTCCCAAGAGTCAAAGTCGTACATACATCTAGGAAGTACCGTCACCAGATTTATATTCCAGAAATTAATTGGCTTGTTATGATTCTCTGCATTGTCGTGACAGCTGGGTTTTAAAAATCAAAACCAAATTGGCAATGCCTCTGGTGAGTTTAACTAGATGTAGCTTATTTTATTTATACATATATCTTCTTTTGTTAATACACAAGTTCATGAAATTCAGGTCAGTGTGTGAATTTGTTTGAATTCTTTCTACATACATTATAAAATGTCACACACTTGTGTTTCTTGTGCGGGTTGGGCACATGTGTTAGCATGAGTTGATAACAAGACATCTACTTCTCCTTCTTTTTTTGCGGGGGTAAAAACATCTACTTCAGTTAGTTAGTACGAAATTAACTTTTGTATAGCATTAGTGAAAAAATCATTTTCCTCCTCATATCATGCCATCTTCTCATCTTGCTGAATCTCCATATAGACTAACTTTTGAATGGATGAATCATTATTGTCTTTCATATCTTCCATAATTTCTACACATTCTCTAGCTCCATGTTTATCCATATTATGCAAAAGATTCTCTGACCTGGATTATGGGGTCAGCTTGGCCAGTGGCTGTGAAATCAAAATAGTCATTAAGGATGAGGTCTATTTTACAGTTTATCCTTCTTTTTCAGTACCTTTCAATGTCATTTTTTTTCCTTTTGTTTCCCATCTGCTTCCAGTTGTAACTGTTCCGCCCGAGCAGGATACATTGGTTAGTTTGAAGGATTACAGGGTACAATTCTAGGCAAATTTTGTTCCCATTTCTCTTCTCAAACTAATGTTCTGTTATTTATCACATCTCCTTCCACACTTCTTGGTTGCAATTATATTGCACCAACTAACATAATTTTACGTGTTGCAAAAGGGACAGCGGTTTGTGTAGTCATGTTGGTAACCACACTGCTTATGATTTTAGTCATGATATTAGTGTGGCGCTGCCACTGGATTCTTGTCCTGATTTTCACTGGCTTATCATTGGTTGTGGAGGGCACTTACTTTTCTGCTGTGCTCCTCAAGGTCAATCAAGGTGGCTGGGTTCCTCTTGTGATCACAACAGCCTTCTTTATCATCATGTATGTTTGGCATTATGGGACAGTAAAATGGTTTGAGATTGAGATGCATAGTAAGGTTTCCATGGCATGGATTCTTGGACTTGGTCCCAGTTTAGGACTGGTTCGGGTACCTGGGATAGGCCTTGTGTACACTGAGCTAGCAAGCGGAGTGCCCCGCATCTTCTCTCATTTTATCACCAACCTACCCGCCATCCATTCTGTTGTTGTCTTTGTCTGCGTGAAGTACCTTCCTGTCTGGACAGTCCCAGAGGAAGAGCGGTTCCTTGTAAAGCAGATCGGACCCAAGAATTTCCACATGTTCCGTTGTGTTGCAACAAACTAAGCGTCTTCGGACTCTGATTTATCTAGTTTACTTGACCAACAAACTAAGCAATCAGGAGATGGCCTGTTTTGTAATAGCAGGAATTTGCTTCATTCCAATGTGAACCGGTCAATTGCGTCAGGGGACTCGATCGTGCCTGACGATTCTCCATTGCATGCAAACAACATTACCTCCTCCATTCCGGCAAGCAACCAGGTTGGAACCGATGATGAGGTAGAATTCTTGAACAACTGTAGAGATGCAGGGGTGGTGCACATACTGGGAAACACTGTAATTGAAGCTAGGAGGGAATCAAAGTTTTGGAAGAAGATAGCTATTGATTACCTATATGCATTTCCTTTGTATGTTTTCTACAATACATTTCCTGATGGAATTGGTGACCCAGAGGATTTAGTTGGAGCTTTATCTGTTATTATATATTCCCTCACTCTTATTCCACTCCTCAAGTACGTTTTTATTGTCTGTAGAGAAAATGACAATGGTCAAGGTAATTGATCTCAACCAATGATGTTACTTTATTCTAGTTCTATATCATCCATATATAAGCTTCTTTTTCTCTCTCCCCACCTTTATAATATTAGGCATTACCTTGAATTCTGTGCTCAGATAATTTATCTAATGTATCTGTGTTTGATTTCTCAATAAGAGACAATTACATCAAAAATATGGAAGCTGTTATGGCCTTTTTCTGATGTAGTGCCAATAGTGCAGTTCATTTGTTCTTCCCTTTTCATTCATTTAAGGTTGATTGATGACTGTCCTTATTTCTGCTTTGCTTTGGGAAAGTTGATGACAGATTTCCTTCCTGATGATTCCGTGTGATGATAGAAAACTTAGAGATAGAATCAATTAAAGGGGAAAGAACAAAATTGGTAAGGGACAGGACACGTATGAAATGATAGTGGATAACAATAGGTGAACATGTACAAGGTATCCCACATAATAAAACAGTTTGGATTAGCTTCCAGCTTCTTTGAGAAGGTAAACACGATTGTGATCTTACACACACCCCTTCAAAGCGAGAGGTTTGTAGTGCTTTATACTCATCAATCATGCAGATGTACACAATGATTTTATGGTTGATAGTGATTTATGGAAGATTGTAAATTAAGTGAAAGAGTGACATTTTAAAAGTAATGAATGTCAGAATTCTTTGCTATATATTAAATGATTTTCGTTATGTATTCTAATGCTAGCATACAGTAGCATGCATTATGCTGTATCTTCCCTCTCAATGAGGCAAATTTCCCTATCTGATTTTGTCCGCACGTTCCTGCAAACTTATCTTCCTAATGTCTGCAGGTGGAACATTTGCTCTTTATTCACTACTCTGTCGACATGCAAAAATAAAGGCTATTCCTAACCAAGACCAAACAGATGAGGCACTAACAACATATAGCCGTTCTACATTTGGTGAGCAATCATTTGCTGCAAGAACCAAGAGATGGTTGGAGGGACATGCATTAATGAAAGTCAAGTGAGTTTGTGACTTACTCCCTGAAGATTGGTTGTGAACGCTTCCAGGAACAGAAGCACTTTTTGCTGACCTATCCCATTTCCCAGTCCCGTCAATACAGATTGCTTTCACGTCAGTTGTATTTCCATGCCTTCTATTAGCCTACTGTGGTCAAGCTGCATACCTCATGAAAAATTCAAATAACGTGATCGGTGCTTTTTATCATTCCATTCCAGGTTTGTTTGATCTCTTAAATATAACATAAACATTTACGCTTAGGTGTTTATTGTTTATGTAAGTAGAAGCCTGTTATTCAAGAAAACTCTTTAAACTTTACATATATTTTCAGAGTGGCATGAATACCCCAAATTTATGGTAATTTATTGCTGAAATATGCCAATAAATCTTTTTTTGCAGACAGCATATATTGGCCTGTGTTTATTGTTGCTACTGCAGCTGCTATTGTTGCGAGTCAGGCCACCATAACTGCAACTTTTTCATTAATCAAGCAGGCCCTTGCATTAGGCTGTTTCCCAAGAGTCCAAGTCGTGCATACATCAAGGAAGTACCGTCACCAGATATATATTCCAGAAATTAATTGGATTGTTATGATTCTCTGCATTGCCGTGACAGCTGGGTTTAAAATGTAGCTTATCTTATTTAAACACATATCTTCCCTTGTTAATATGTGTCTAGGTTGAAATAGGTATTTCACCAAATAACATTAACATAATCTTACGTGTTGCAACAGGGACGGCAGTTTGTATAGTAATGTTGGTAACCACATTGCTTATGATTTTAGTCATGATATTAGTGTGGCGCTGCCACTGGATTCTTGTCCTGATTTTCACTGGCTTATCATTGGTTGTGGAGGGCCACTTACTTTTCTGCGTGCTTCTCTCAAGGTCAATCAAGGTGGCTGGGTTCCTCTTGTGATCGCAGCAGCCTTTTTTGTCATCATGTATATTTGGCATTACGGAACAGTAAAACGCTTTGAGATTGAGATGCATAGTAAGGTTTCAATGGCATGGATTCTCGGACTGGTCCCAGTTTAGGGACTGGTTCGTGTACCTGGGATAGGCCTTGTGTACAGTGAGCTAGCAAACGGAGTGCCCCGCATCTTCTCTCACTTTATCACCAACCTGCCCGCCATCCATTTCTGTTGTTGTCTTTGTCTGCGTGAAGTACCTTCCTGTCTGCACAGTCCCGGAAGAAGAGAGGGGGAAAAAAAAAAAAAAAAAAAAAAAAAAAAAAAAAAAAAAAAAAAAAAAAAAAAAAAAAAAAAAAAAAAAAAAAAAAAAAAAAAAAAAAAAAAAAAAAAAAAAAAAAAAAAAAAAAAAAAAAAAAAAAAAAAAAAAAAAAAAAAAAAAAAAAAAAAAAAAAAAAAAAAAAAAAAAAAAAAAAAAAAAAAAAAAAAAAAAAAAAAAAAAAAAAAAAAAAAAAAAAAAAAAAAAAAAAAAAAAAAAAAAAAAAAAAAAAAAAAAAAAAAAAAAAAAAAAAAAAAAAAAAAAAAAAAAAAAAAAAAAAAAAAAAAAAAAAAAAAAAAAAAAAAAAAAAAAAAAAAAAAAAAAAAAAAAAAAAAAAAAAAAAAAAAAAAAAAAAAAAAAAAAAAACCAGGTTGGAACCGATGATGAGGTAGAATTCTTGAACAACTGTAGAGATGCAGGGGTGGTGCACATACTGGAAACACTGTAATTGAAGCTAGGAGGGAATCAAAGTTTTGGAAGAAGATAGCTATTGATTACCTATGCATTTCCTTTGTATGTTTTCTACAATACATTTCCTGAGGAATTGGTGACCCAGAGGATTTAGTTGGAGCTTTATCTGTTATTATATATTCCCTCACTCTTATTCCACTCCTCAAGTACGTTTTTATTGTCTGTAGAGAAATGACAATGGTCAAGGTAATTGATCTCAACCAATGATGTTACTTTATTCTAGTTCTATATCATCCATATATAAGCTTCTTTTTCTCTCTCCCCACCTTTATAATATTAGGCATTACCTTGAATTCTGTGCTCAGATAATTTATCTAATGTATCTGTGTTTGATTTCTCAATAAGAGACAATTACATCAAAAATATGGAAGCGTTATGGCCTTTTTCTGATGTAGTGCCAATAGTGCAGTTCATTTGTTCTTCCCTTTTCATTCATTTAAGGTTGATTGATGACTGTCCTTATTTCTGCTTTGCTTTGGGGAAAGTTGATGACAGATTTCCTTCCTGATGATTCCGTGTGATGATAGAAAACTTAGAGATAGAATCAATTAAAGGGGAAAGAACAAAATTGGTAAGGGACAGGACACGTATGAAATGATAGTGGATAACAATAGGTGAACATGTACAAGGTATCCACATAATAAAAACAGTTTGGATTAGCTTCCAGCTTCTTTGAGAAGGTAAACACGATTGTGATCTTACACACACCCCTTCAAAGCGAGAGGTTTGTAGTGCTTTATACTCATCAATCATGCAGATGTACACAATGAGTTTATGGTTGATAGTGATTTATGGAAGATTGTAAATTAAGTGAAAGAGTGACATTTTAAAAGTAATGAATGTCAGAATTCTTTGCTATATATTAAATGATTTTCGTTATGTATTCTAATGCTAGCATACAGTAGCATGCATTATGCTGTATCTTCCCTCTCAATGAGGCAAATTTCCCTATCTGATTTTGTCCGCACGTTCCTGCAAACTTATCTTCCTAATGTCTGCAGGTGGAACATTTGCTCTTTATTCACTACTCTGTCGACATGCAAAAATAAAGGCTATTCCTAACCAAGACCAAACAGATGAGGCACTAACAACATATAGCCGTTCTACATTTGGTGAGCAATCATTTGCTGCAAGAACCAAGAGATGGTTGGAGGGACATGCATTAATGAAAGTCAAGTGAGTTTGTGACTTACTCCCTGAAGATTGGTTGTGAACGCTTCCAGGAACAGAAGCACTTTTTGCTGACCTATCCCATTTCCCAGTCCCGTCAATACAGATTGCTTTCACGTCAGTTGTATTTCCATGCCTTCTATTAGCCTACTGTGGTCAAGCTGCATACCTCATGAAAAATTCAAATAACGTGATCGGTGCTTTTTATCATTCCATTCCAGGTTTGTTTGATCTCTTAAATATAACATAAACATTTACGCTTAGGTGTTTATTGTTTATGTAAGTAGAAGCCTGTTATTCAAGAAAACTCTTTAAACTTTACATATATTTTCAGAGTGGCATGAATACCCCAAATTTATGGTAATTTATTGCTGAAATATGCCAATTAATCTTTTTTTGCAGACAGCATATATTGGCCTGTGTTTATTGTTGCTACTGCAGCTGCTATTGTTGCGAGTCAGGCCACCATAACTGCAACTTTTTCATTAATCAAGCAGGCCCTTGCATTAGGCTGTTTCCCAAGAGTCAAAGTCGTGCATACATCAAGGAAGTACCGTCACCAGATATATATTCCAGAAATAATTGGATTGTTATGATTCTCTGCATTGCCGTGACAGCTGGGTTTAAAATGTAGCTTATCTTATTTAAACACATATCTTCCCTTGTTAATATGGTCTAGGTTGAAATAGGTATTTCACCAAATAACATTAACATAATCTTACGTGTTGCAACAGGGACGGCAGTTTGTATAGTAATGTTGGTAACCACATTGCTTATGATTTTAGTCATGATATTAGTGTGGCGCTGCCACTGGATTCTTGTCCTGATTTTCACTGGCTTATCATTGGTTGTGGAGGGCACTTACTTTTCTGCTGTGCTTCTCAAGGTCAATCAAGGTGGCTGGGTTCCTCTTGTGATCGCAGCAGCCTTTTTTGTCATCATGTATATTTGGCATTACGGAACAGTAAAACGCTTTGAGATTGAGATGCATAGTAAGGTTTCAATGGCATGGATTCTCGGACTGGTCCCAGTTTAGGACTGGTTCGTGTACCTGGGATAGGCCTTGTGTACAGTGAGCTAGCAAACGGAGTGCCCCGCATCTTCTCTCACTTTATCACCAACCTGCCCGCCATCCATTCTGTTGTTGTCTTTGTCTGCGTGAAGTACCTTCCTGTCTGCACAGTCCCGGAAGAAGAGAGGTTCCTTGTAAAGCGAATTGGACCCCAAGAATTTCCACATGTTCCGTTGTGTTGCAAGGTATGGCTATAAAGACGACCATAAAAAGGATGATGATTTTGAGAAAAAGCTCTTTCAAAGCCTTTTCATGTTTGTCCGGCTCGAGTCCTTGATGGAAGCGTCTTCAGACTCTGATGTATCTAGCTTGCTTGAGCAACAAACTAAGCAATCAGAAGATGGCCTGTTTTGTAATAGCAGCAATATACTTCACTCTGATGTAGACCTGTCAATTGCGTCAGTGGACTCGATTGTGCCTGATGATTCTCCCTTTCATTCAAACAACATGACCTCCTTCGTTCCGGCAAGCAGCAAGGTGGAGACTGATGAGATAGAATTCCTGAACAACTGTGAGATGCAGGGGTGGTGCACATGTTGGGAAATACCGTAGTAAGAGCTAGGAGAGAATCAAAGTTTTGGAAGAAGATAGCTATTGATTACCTATATGCATTTCTTAGGAAGATATGCAGGGAAAATAGTGTAATGTTCAACGTTCCTCATGAGAGCCTCTTGAATGTTGGACAAGTTTTCTATGTATAGCATTCACATCTTGTAATGACTGAGGTATGTTTTATCATGTTCTTAGCAAGGAGAGATTATTAGGTAGCACGGTATTATCAGGTGGCATTTTCCGGATTGCAGTACAGACGAATAATGGGACGACACTTGGGCATCAAGAACTTTTTCAACCATGTTTCTTTAATTTTGTTTATGTATCAGTATTCATTACTCCCTGCCTTTGTCATCTAGGATTTCATTGAAAAAACACCAAAAAAAACCGTATTTCAATGTGAGCAATGCTAGTTTTGCTCAAGCGAAAATTCAGGGGTAGTTTATGCCAAGTTTTGCTCAAGAATCACTATGATTGAGACCAGAAGAACATAAAGTTAACTTGATTGAGACAAGTTAACACAAGTGTGGAAACATTCAAGAAGATCACGAGTCACAACCACAAGTGTGGTTGGGTATGTTGTGAGGATGTAAAGAATTGTCACATTAAGTTAAGAAAGCTTATAAGGGCGTATAAGAAGATTAGTCTTGTAATTGACGATTAGTTTTGCGAACCTCAACTTCCACATTTAACTTTCACATAGTATTAAATAAAAATACTACTTTATAATGGCTGAATTTTTCACCCTTACATTTATTAAATTTTACACCTACATATTTTTCACCGTATTTCATTTGTACTTCTTTCGTAATCTATTTTACTAAGGTTAGTATGCGGTCTTGTCCAAATCATATTGCGTCAGCTTTAATATATTTTCAAACGAATGGATTTTTTTTTCTTTTTTGTCCTTTTTTTGTGTGAAGTGGGGACCAAAAGCCCAGAAACAAAAAAACTTAAGCTAAATCATGGGATTCATAATTTAAAGAGATTGAAAATCACAGAACTATTATTACTATAATTAAGACCCCCTCATTGTCAAAGATACCTTACACTATAATAAAAAATAATGACTTCTCCCTTCTTTTTTAAATTATCTTCTACTTGCTCTGACTATTCTATTTTATGCTCGTTTGATCTATTTGTACAAATTCTCACGTGAATTTTTTGAGGAATTGGAATGACTAAATCCCCTCAGAAACCAAAACTTAATAAACATATGTGTCTGTCATGTTTTTATATTCTGATATTTCTGTGAACAGTCCCTGTTTTTAACTATGTGGGCCCCAATCCTTATTGGATTTCGTGTATAAAAAAATGCGCGCTCTAAATCTTAGGCATATTGCTGTGTATATTTGGCATTTTCTTGTACATTTAGAATCTTTGCATGCATACCGTTACTTGCTAAGAGTAAGAGGCCCTTTTACCAAATGGAAAAAAATAAAAACAATTGCAACTGAAATTTATTTCAGGATTGAAATGAATAAATATCTATTTATATATTAGCACTTGAACGAGTTATATCACGTGATCATATCAAGTTATATCACATGATCATACTCTAACATCACAAATTAATTGAAAAAAGGAAAGAAACAATATTTGCACTGTATTATAACGAATAAAGAATTACTCTTTGCTCTAAAGAATGGCCTCTGTTCATCTTTGTCACCCTTGTGGTATGCTTGATGGGTACTTGAAGTCTTCAGGGCTTAACCCACCTTGGGAATATCACTTACAACCAAGTAAGAAAGCCACTAAAAGTTTCGTTTTTCCTTTTTTTGCTTTCATATTTTACTTTTTTTTTTAATGTAGATTGTATATGCTGGGTGTTCTTGGGTTGTCATGGCTTCAAGGGAGTTCTGGATTTTTATTCATTTTTTGTGTACTGCTTAGATGTTTTGCATTAGGTTACTGCTGAGATGTTTTCCTGGTAATTTGATAGCAATTCAAAAGCAGAAGAATCTTCAAATTTTCAACACTGATATCTGTTTGCATTAGGTTCAGTCAGCTTTCAATAGAGCGGGAGGCCAAGAAAGGGCAACTGGGGCATTGAAAAAACTTGGAGAGGTGAATTGGTGGAAGGGAGGGAGAATCATTTGAATTATGGAGATGCAAATGGCTAGAAGAACCCCTGCTGATGAAAACACTGATAATAATAATAAAGGTAGCGTCTGGGTTTTGGATCAGCAGCTTGATCAGCCCATGGATGAGGAGGCTAAAAGGCTTAGAAATATGTACACGGAAAAGGTTTTCTTTCTCTCTTTCCCCCATTCTGCAGTGAACTGTTTCAAAGCCTAACTTACCAATATCATTAGAAATGTCAAATCTGAAGGCTTTGAATTTTAAAAATCTGGCAGTTAATTGAAGTTTTTGTGTGTTTAGGATCAGTTAAGTAGCTTTTGTTGCTGATTTCCTTGCAGAAATATTCGACATTAATGCTTCTGCAGCTTGCATTTCAAAGCCTTGGTGTGGTGTATGGAGATTTAGGCACATCTCCTCTGTATGTTTTCTACAACACATTTCCTGATGGAATTGGTGACCCAGAGGATTTAATCGGAGCTTTATCGGTTATTATCTACTCCCTCACTCTTATTCCACTCCTCAAGTATGTTTTTATTGTCTGCAGAGCAAATGACAATGGTCAAGGTAATTGATCTCAACCAATGATGTTACTTTAGTCTAGTTCTATTTCATCCATATATAAACTCCTCCTTCCCGTCCCCGCCTTTCTAATGTTAGGCATTACCTTGAATTCGGTGCTCAGATAACTAATCCAATTTATCTATGTTTGATTTCTCAATAAGAGACAATTACATCGGAAATATGGGTGCCGTTATGGTTTGTTCTGATGTAGTGCTAATAGTGCAGTTCATTTGTTCTTCCCTTCCCATTCTCTTAAGGCTGAATCAAGACTGCCCTTATTTCTGCTTTCCTTTGGGAAAGTTGATGGCAGATTTTCTTCCTGATGGTTCCATCTGATCATAGAAAACTTAAAGATAGAATTAAGTAAATGGGGAAGAGTACAATTGGTGAGAGTCACAGGATACATTTGTAATTATAGAGGATAACAATAGGTGAACATGCACAAGGTGCCCACATAATAGAAACATTTTGGATTAACTTCCAGCTTCGTTTGAGAAGGTAAACGCAATTGTGATCTTACACACTCACCTTCAAAGCAAGAGGTTTGTAGTGCTTTATCAATCGTGCAGATGTACATAATGAGTTTATGGAAGATTGTAAACCAAGTAAAAGAGTAATATTTTAAAAGTAATGGATGCCAGAATAATGAGTTTATGGAAGATTGTAAACCAAGTAAAAGAGTAATATTTTAAAAGTAATGGATGCCAGAATTCTTTGCTATATTTCATGATGTAGTTCTAATGATAGTATACCGTTGTGTGCATTATGGCAGTATCTTCCCTCCTAATGAGCCAATTTCCCAATTTGTTTTGCCGACACTGAGTTCTTGTAAACTTATCCTCTTCATATGGTTGCAGGTGGAACATTTGCTCTTTATTCACTACTCTGTCGACATGCAAAAATTAAGGCTATTTCTAACCAAGACCAGACGGATGAGGCACTAACAACATATAGCCGTTCTACATTTGATGAGCAATCATTCACTGCAAGAACCAAAAGATGGTTGGAGGGACATGCATTAACGCAGAGCACACTTCTTATTCTTGTTCTAGTTGGCTCTTGCATGGTGATTGGGGATGGGATTCTGACTCCAGCCATATCAGGTACCCATCTTCATGGTTGATATTGTAGAATGGTTCTGCTGTCTATCTATCTTCATAAGTAATCTGCTTATTTATGTTATTTTGTTTTACGCAATACCCACATAAGGTTGAACGCTTTTTTCCACTCTGCCCTCTATCTTCTCCCTATGTTACAGAAACCCAAACACATTCAACCTGCGTAATGTTGTTAGAGAAGTAAATCTTAAGGGAAGTTATTGCAATACCCTTGCACACGGAGCAATCTTTATCGTGATTTGTGAAAACTATTCTTTTTTCAATTTTTTTGTTTCTTTTCTAAATGATAAAAGGTACTTCCTTGATCATATTCTATTCGGTATGCATACGTAACACTTAATCGATTCATGCTATATTTTGCAGTTCTGTCAGCAGTTGGTGGGATCAACGTGGGGCACTCTAAGATTAGTAATGGTATCTCCATGCTTTGGATATGAAGATATCTTTTCATTTGCTTTGTCAAGTTTGTGACTCAATATATCATTTCTTCCAAATGTAATTATAACTACACTTTGGTGTACAGAGGTGGTTGTGCTTGTTGCTGTTGTTATACTGGTACTTTTGTTTACCATGCAACACCATGGTACAGATAAAGTTGGTTGGCTGTTTGCACCCATTGTACTCCTTTGGTTTCTCTTAATTGGAGGAATTGGCATGTTCAACATTTGGAAGTATGAAAGTAGCATTTTAAAAGCTTTTTCACCTGTATATGTATATCGATTTTTTAAGAGGGGAGGAAAAGGTGGGTGGACATCTCTCGGAGGTATTATGCTTAGTATAACAGGTAAATGTTCTATAGGCATGTATTGTCCTTTTTTATGATCTTCAATTTTCATTTATGAAATTCAAGTGAGTTTGTGACTTTTCCCTGAAGAGTGGTTGTGAACATTTACAGGAACAGAAGCACTTTTTGCTGACCTATCCCATTTCCCAGTCTCGTCCATACAAATTGCTTTCACATTAGTTGTATTTCCATGCCTTCTATTGGCCTACTGTGGTCAAGCTGCATACCTCATGAAAAATTCAAATAACGTGATTGGTGCTTTTTATCATTCCATTCCAGGTTTGTTTGATCTCTTAAATATAACATAAACATTTACGCTTAGGTGTTTATTGTTTATGTAAGTAGAAGCCTGTTATTCAAGAAAACTCTTTAAACTTTACATATATTTTCAGAGTGGCATGAATACTCATGTTTATGGTAATCTATTGCTGAAAGATGCTGATTAATCTTTTTTGCAGACAACATATATTGGCCTGTGTTTATTGTTGCAACTGCAGCTGCTGTTGTTGCAAGTCAGGCCACCATAACTGCAACTTTTTCATTAATCAAGCAGGCCCTTGCACTAGGCTGTTTCCCAAGAGTCAAAGTCGTACACACATCTAGGAAGTACCGTCACCAGATTTATATTCCAGAAATTAATTGGATTGTTATGATTCTCTGCATTGTCGTGACAGCTGGGTTTAAAAATCAAAACCAAATTGGCAATGCCTCTGGTGAGTTTAACCAGATGTAGCTTATTTTATTTATACATTGTTAATACATAAGTTCATGAAATTCAGGTCAGTGTGTGAATTTGTTTGAATTCTTTCTACATACATTATAAAATGTCCCACAAGTGTGTTTCTTGTGCGGGTTGGGCACGTGTGTTAGCATGAGTTGATAACAAGACATCTACTTCACCTTCTTTTTTTTTTGCGGGGGTAAAGACATCTACTCCAGTTAGTTAGTACGAAATTAACTTTTGTGTAGCATTAGTGAAAAAATCATTTTCCTCCTCATATCATGCCATCTTCTCATCTTACTGAATCTCCATATAGACTAACTTTTGAATGGATTAATCATTATTGTCTTTCATATCTTCCATAATTTCTAAACATTCTCTAGCTCCATGTTTATCCATATTATGCAAAAGATTCTCTGACCTGGATTATGGGGGTCAGCTTGGCCAGTGGCTGTGAAATCAAAATAGTCATTAAGGATGAGGTCTATATTACAGTTTATCCTTCTTTTTCAGTACCTTTCAATGTCATTTTTTTTACTTTTGTTTCCCATCTGCTTCCAGTTGTAACTGTTCCGCCCGAGTAGGATACATTGGTTAGTTTGAAGGATTACAGGGTACAATTCTAGGCAAATTTTGTTCCCATTTCTCTTCTCAAACTTCTGTTCTGTTATTTATCACATTTCCTTCCACGCTTCTTGGTTGAAATTATATTGCACCAACTAACATAATTTTACGTGTTGCAACAGGGACAGCGGTTTGTGTAGTCATGTTGGTAACCACACTGCTTATGATTTTAGTCATGATATTAGTGTGGCGCTGCCACTGGATTCTTGTCCTGATTTTCACTGGCTTATCATTGGTTGTGGAGGGCACTTACTTTTCTGCTGTGCTCCTCAAGGTCATCAAGGTGGCTGGGTTCCTCTTGTGATCGCAACAGCCTTCTTTATCATCATGTATGTTTGGCATTATGGGACAGTAAAACGGTTTGAGATTGAGATGCATAGTAAGGTTTCCATGGCATGGATTCTTGGACTTGGTCCCAGTTTAGGACTGGTTCGGGTACCTGGGATAGGCCTTGTGTACACTGAGCTAGCAAGCGGAGTGCCCCGCATCTTCTCTCATTTTATCACCAACCTACCCGCCATCCATTCTGTTGTTGTCTTTGTCTGCGTGAAGTACCTTCCTGTCTGGACAGTACAAGAGGAAGAGCGGTTCCTTGTAAAGCGGATCGGACCCAAGAATTTCCACATGTTCCGTTGTGTTGCAAGGTATGGCTATAAAGACGACCATAAAAGGGATGATGATTTTGAGAAAAAGCTCTTTCAAAGCCTTTTCATGTTTGTCCGGCTTGAGTACCTGATGGAAGCGTCTTCAGACTCTGATTTATCTAGTTTACTTGACCAACAAACTAAGCAATCAGGAGATGGCCTGTTTTGTAATAGCAGCAATATGCTTCATTCCAATGTGAACCGGTCAATTGCGTCAGGGGACTCGATCGTGCCTGATGATTCTCCATTGCATGCAAACAACATTACCTCCTCCATTCCGGCAAGCAACCAGGTTGGAACCGATGATGAGGTGGAATTCTTGAACAACTGTAGAGATGCAGGGGTGGTGCACATACTGGGAAACACTGTAATTGAAGCTAGGAGGGAATCAAAGTTTTGGAAGAAGATAGCTATTGATTACCTATATGCATTTCTTAGGAAGATGTGTAGGGAAAACAGTGTAATGTTCAACGTTCCTCATGAGAGCCTCTTGAATGTTGGGCAGGTATTCTATGTGTAGCATTCGCATCCACCTTGTAAACAGTGAAGGCATGCTAGCAATGCAAATTTGATTATGCACTTCAAATTTAACATGTCATCCATTTCAATGAAGTTCAGTTCATCATTGCCATTGGGTTAATATGTTATCATGTTCTTAGCAAGGAGAGAGAGATTATTATGTTGTACCGTATTCCCACGTGGCATTTGCCAGGTGGGTGGTAGTACGAACGAATGATAGGACACCACCTAGACATCAACTACTAAGGAGAGAAGAATTTCTCCAACCATGTTTCTAAAAATTAATCTTCCCTCTGGCAATAACTTGTAACTAATCAAGAAATGAAAATGAAGATCATCTTTTTTAAATTACCCAAAGAAACATGGAAAATAAGATCATCAACTATCAGCTACTTCAATTTGTGATTTTAAAACAAAATTGGTGGAAAACGAACTAAAGAACCAATTCATTATTTGGTCAAAATCAAGGAAGTCCAACTCCAATTTCAAAATTCATTCGTTGACACGCCTTGATCAGGGTTTGACAGTCGGAATTTAACAAATTTCTTCAAAATTATCATTTCTCTACAAGGTGATTAAATTGGAGGTTATGATTAATTCATGGGCACGCTTGAGCTAAAATGTTTGGAATGGCAGCTATTAACCTGACTTAGTAGTGGCCAGAGTGCCATTTTCTTCTGATGAAGTGATGATGATGATGCCACAGATTGCACACAAGCCTCAAAGATTTACAGTAAAGATTCAGGGTTTGCATACAATAATATACAATCTTCACAGTATGCTGCACAAAAAACAATGTCATATCGTCAGGCAACTAACTGTGCCTCCTCACTGTCAGGGACCACAATGTCAAGCCTCATCATGGGTTTGTATTTCTCAGGGATCTGTGCACCTGCCTGCAAGCATACCTCTACCACGGCAGGAGCCTTCCCATAGAACTTCTTGAGTGCACCCCCTTTCATTGGAGGCCCTTTAGGGTCTTTGACATGCCATACATAGTTTGGTGGGAAAACTTCATCCACAGTAGCGTCCTGCCAACCATGCTTCCCATCCCTCCATTGGTGCTTGAATTCCCCACAAAGCTTTGCGTTGTGACCCCAAGGTCCAACATGAACCTCTGTGCAATACCCACATGCCTTCACAGTGTATTTCTTCATCAGCTTTGTGACCCCGAACCTCACAGTTTCATATGCATCCATTGTCTCCTGTGCAATCTTGTGAATGTCTGATGGCAGGGGAGGTGGAAACCGCTCACAAGCCCCATGTGTATCGAGATCAACAAGTGAAGATGGATTCGCAGCGCGCCATGGCTGTGGCTCCTCAACCAATCCACCACGATCAATTACTTTCCTTCCAATCATTCGGATAGGTTTGGTTCTTCGACGTGAAGGGTACTCCGGTATTTCCACACCAGCTTGGATGCACAGCTCCACGATAGCTGGAATCCTGTCATATTGAAATCTAGTTTCATGCTTAATGCGCCGACCAAAAGGATCATACAGATGATATGCCTCGGTGGGTACAAGTATGTCATTGATAGAACCCTTAATCCAGGAATGGAAGCTTCGGCGCTTGGAATTGGTTGGGCCAAGACAGTCCTGCATGTGATGACCAGAGTGGCTCACATGAACCTCAGAGCATTCACTGCAAAAGAGCTAAAACAATTCAACGTTCCAATTTTTAACCTAGATTGTTAAAAGATTAGTACATAACTATATAAAGCCGCATCAGAAGTTTTGAAAAATGGATACAGAACATAAAAAAAACATACTTACTTGCAGCCGTATACAGGAATAACATGCAACAGCTGTCCAAGGCCTTTAATTAAAACTTTCCACGCATCTAGTACTTGGTAAGCAACAGGAATTAAATCAGGGACAAGTAATCCATTTTTCGGAGGGTCGAGGGGCTTCTCTATACCCATTTCTGCAAGTTTTTTGTCCTCCTTTGCAACCTGCTTGATCTTCTTGAAGGGAATAGGATAGGGTTTCTTCTTTTGCTTAGGTAGTACGGGTGGAAGATCCACATTTTGGGGATATGCTTCTCGCTTCCTTAAGGTTGGTTCTACCCTGGGCTTCCTACTGGCAGAAAAGATAGTTCCCAAAATACTTCCTCCTTTATGAAGCTTTCCATGCTCAAACTGCATTTTGAATAAAACTTGAGTGTCCAGTTCCAGGATGAAAGTCAAACTCACAACTACATGCATGAATATACAAATTAAGGAGGCAGATATTCTCAAAGCACCAGTACTGTCACAAATCACAATAACAGTAGCCTCAGGATGTAATACCGCTAGGAACACATGTAAGAAACTAATTAAATAGTTGTGAGAAGCACAGTGCTTCTCAACCAGCTACTCCACGAGGAATTTTTTTAATACTTTTTCATCCCTTATTTCTTGTATATTTTTTATTGTCAATTTCATTTGCAGACTCACATAGAAACAATCAACTCTGTCTTAGATTTGAGGAACCAATTTTGTTTTTTAGAAAAGGAAACAAATTTTATTGCAAGGTGGCCACACAAAAACAGAAACAAAGAAAGAGCAGCTAGACTGAACTAAACCCTAAGCTACTAGCAAAAGAACCCCAGTAGCGCACACACAACCTATAGCTAGGAAATGGCTGCTTTCCAATCCAACCAAATAACCCTAAAGGGCATATCTCTGAAGACTGAAGAAGTCTTTAGATGTTTTGAGGAACCAATTATTATGGATGAAAATAAAAAAGTTGGAGCACTTGTCAAAACCAACGCACTGTTCTCATTAAAACCAGAAGAAAATTTCCATAACAAGTTTACAGTACTCATACATTTCTAACCATTTCTGGAGACAGACATCTACCACGACTCCAAGTATTGATGCAATGCACCACATCATGGTGGATGATATATGGTAAATACCTTTGATGCTCAAATCCTATGTCAAGGCATTTCCATAGCCCCATATGACATCAAGTCCTCAAAGAATTTAAAAGATCTTATAGATGAATTTACTCAATGAAATCCTGCAGATGGAAACTGACAGGTGCTCACTACCTCTTAACAGCCCAGAAATTGGAACCAACATTGGCTGGGTCTGGTAATGGATATTAGCATTCAATATTCCATGATATACTTAGGAATTATTAGGCTCTAATATGAGCTTGTATGCTACAAGCTCTGCTAAAAAGGCAACAGCAACTGCTGAGAAAATGGATAGGGTGCTTGTAAAAATAATTAACCAAATCGATCAACTACGATGCATGTTTGTAATATACAAACAGTTAACAAACAATAAGGATAGAAGGGATAATGAAAGGGAGAGAATAGAACCTTGAACCCGACACTATATGAACTCGCAGCTGATAGTTGAGTTCGCTTGAACTCAATGGTACAGAGGCAAGCACCTGCAGAATTAAGCAAAATCAATACATGTTCATTGTAAAATTGATTCTAAAAGTACAAGCTTGAAGATAGAAAATGAAAGGACTAGATCACCTTTCTGATATGGTTCCCACAAACCAGAGGATACTGTTGGAGGCTTATGGAACATCTATCTATGTTATTATCCCTAGAGCCCAGTCTCCTGGTTATAAAAAAATTAATTATTTAATTTAATTTAAAATTAAAAAAACAAGTACAACAAACAACATAGTGTGAAAAGAAAACCAATGAATAAAATGTTTCAATCCTTTAGCTAATGGTGTATCTTTTATGTGCAGAACCAGTCAGCCAATAGCCATGATGTCATTTCAAAGCCAATATATAATAGCTGAGCAGTATTGCGAATGAATGAACAATAATATATAAAAGAAATAGAAAGAACATGGGTATTCAACCAAAAAGGAAATCTTTTCCAGCACGGCACATCATCCCCAACCAAATGCAATACTTTTTCTTTTCTTTGTTAGAGGCCAAAGCTAATGTAAAATGTTGTTGCTTTGCTTCCACACCCAAATGGCCAAATTCAGGTGAAGCTCACTAATGGTAGATTGCTTTTGAACTGTTTTTACAGGAACCATCAATTTAATATTGGATGGGTCCTGTGAAGCTTTTCCTCAAACATATTGTGTACCCTACGAAAACGAGGGCTGCCTAACCACAACCCAGTTCCCAATTATCAATTATGGTAGACAATTTTATGCATACTTGAGAAAAAGAGCTTACCTTTGAGAGTTGAGAGTTCGTTAACACAGATTGAAGAGCACCGTTATACAATACGCAACTGGTACTGCAAGAGACTGAGACGTCGTGGGCGGCTATTATCAGAGCAAACAGCTTCCTCATCATCTCTTATGGAAGGACATGGTTGTCAATATCAATTTATAAGAGGGCATAATATCTATAAGCAGCCGAAGGACATGGTTGGCAATATCAATTTATAAGAGGCCATATCACATGCCACATAGGTTGGTAAATAAAAGTTGGTAACCAAGTCGCCACAGAAACCGAATTTCATAATTAAATAAATAAACGCAAATAATAGGTATCATTTTATCTATTTATTTGTAGTATCTAACTTCCAATAAATCCTTCTCACATCAATTTAATAAGCCTAAGTTATAACACTGGTTATTATCATTTTATCTACTTATTTGATCGTCTTTATTTGTCAAGTTGGTTCGGTTACTGGAGTTTTCAATCATTTTTCCTATTATTATTAGGGGTGGGCACGGTAAGGGATGACATGAGATGGAAGTCATCTCAGTGTCAATTTCGGATAGGGGAATCAGGATGGGATGACACAGGATGAGAGTTTTTGAGAACACGTTCAAACTATACCGGACCCAAACAGGATCAGTATGATTCGGTATCAATGTTGATACCGTAAAAAATCCTGCAAAAATTCAAAAATCTTGCAATTTTTATAAATCAAGCCTGATACAAAGTTTACAAACAATCAAGATTCAAGGGTCTCATTCAAGACCTGCCAAATTATATGATACATTGAATACATTCATATTCGCTTTCACGAATCAAGCCTAATACAACAAAACAAACAATCAAGTCTTGATTCAAGACCAACCAAGAATACGATCTTCGACCCTTGATTTTTCTACACAAAAGCTCGAAGAGACTTTGGGGCTTTCCTTTTCCACCAATTTTATACACTTTGGAGAGAGAGAGAGAGAGAGAGAGAGAGAGAGAGAGAGGAAAGGAGAAGAGAATGGAGACGGAGGAAACAAAGCTGGAAGAGTCAAAATATTTGTGGGAGAGAAGGAATTTTAAATTGGGATTTATTATTTACCTGGTACTATTCGGTATGGTATGGCACCAAACGGGATCATAAATCTGGAACCGGTATCATGCCAAACAGTAACAGGATGACACGGTATCATCTCATTTACACTTCAATACCAAATGGGATGGCACGAGATTGACATGGTTTGGCATGGTTTCAAGAGGGTTTCGGTATTACGATTTTGATGTCCACCCCTAATTATTATTGTTATTATGGAAACATGTTTTTACACATTATTACTACTAGTCTCTCTGTACGCGCTTCCGCGCTTGCAAGAGGCTTTAAAAAAAAATATATATATATTAGAATTTAAAAAGATAATGGGTAGTTGTGTTCCATAAAAATAGGATCCATTATCTTTTTTTCTTTTTTTAATTTTTTTTTTAATATGAAAATGTGTGAATTTACCATATTATTCTTATTTCATTAATAATTTCAATTCTTAATGTTTGCATTAACTAAAGGCATTTTCTGACATTTTGAATGTTTCACCATTATCTACCTTTTGCTTTATATATATATATATATATATAGATTATGGGCTAATGACCTAAATGGTCCCCCAACTATCGCTCGATTATCATTTTGGTCCATCAACTAAAATTTTCAATTCAAACGTCCTTAAACTTTTTATATTGTACCAAAATCGTCCTTCCGTCAAAGTCTGTGTATTATTCTGTTAAATCGAGGGACGAAACCGTATTTTTAGGTGAGTATCCTCTTCTTAAATGAATTGGCCACTGTAGCAACGGCCATTCTCCATTGATCAACCAATAGCGCCAAATCACTTCATTCTTCTCCAAAACCACTTCTTCCCTATCCCCCATTTCTTCCAAATCCAAACTAACTCAAAACCCTAACCTTAGCCCCGGTCCTAGCCCTAGCCACACCACTCTTTCGCCTCTCCAATCCAAGCCCAAGCCCAAGAAATCACATGGCCAAGAGGTTGTTGGCAAGAGGATCAAGGTTTACTGGCTGTTGGATAATATCTGGTACGAAGGTTATGTGAAGTAGTTCAGTAAGGATAATGGTAAACATTTAGTTTAGTACAATGATGCTGAAGAAGAGTTGTTGGATTTGGGAAAGGAGAAGATCAAATGGGTCCAAGAAACCGTCAAGACCTTGAAATGTTTGATGCGAGGCCCTTTGTTGACTTCCAACGAGGTCGTTGTGGATGATGAGGATGAGGATAAGGAAGGCAGCAATGATGTTGCTGACGATGATTCCAGTGACGAGGACTGGGGGAAGAGTGAGGACAAAGACCTAGTTGTTGAGGAGGAAGAGGAGCTTATGGAATTGGAGGATGAGCGATATGGCTTCTCAAAAAGTCACATATACCTTTCAAAACTCAGTCACGTGGCCATCGCGTGATCGAAAGTGACGGAATCTGTCACGAAAGGACGATTTTGGTACAATATAAAAAGTTTAAGGACGTTTGAATTGAAAATTTTAGTTGATTGACCAAAATGATAATCGAGCAATAGTTAGGGGACCATTTATGTCATTAACCCTATAGATTATTGTTACTAGCCTCTCCGCGCTTACGAGAGGTTTTTTTATTATAAATTTTTTAAATTTGCTTTAGAATTAAAAAAGATAATGGGTAATTGTGTTCCATAAAAATAGGATCCATTATCTGATTTTTCTTTTCATTTAAATTCTTTTTAATATGAAAAAGTGTGAATTTACCATATTATCCTCATTTAATTAATAATTTCAATTCTTAATGTTTGCATTAACCAAAGGCATTTTATGACGTTTTGAATATTTCCCCATTCTCTACCTTTTGCTTAATATATATATATATATATATATTATTACACATTATTAACAGATTATTACACATTATTAACTAACTAGCATGCAAAATGTAGTAGACATAAGATATATGCTTTGACCTCCCCTCTAGTTTAGGAGAATTTATTAAAAATAGTCAAAACTTGACCCCTAATTTCAAAAATGTCAATTTTTGTAAAAAATTTCAAATATAGCAGAAAAACTCACCTAAATAGACACAAATACCCTCAAATTTAAAACAGACATAAACCTAAAAAAGAAAACCCTATTACATTGGGAATCTTTGTACGTAGAGTTTGTTCGCAGACGTATTGCTGCCATAATAATACAAATTTTTTTTTTGGCCAAATAAATACATACATTTTATTTGGAGACAGATAGGAGAGAAGAAGATGAGAAGAAGAAAAAAAAAGATATGCAGACGGGAGAAGAAGAAAAGAGAGAGATGCAGACGGGAGAAGAAGAAAAGAGAGAGAGAGAGAGAGAGAGAGAGAGAGAGAGAGAGAGAGAGAGAGAGAAGAGAGAAAAAAAGAAAAGGAAAAGAGAGGGAGTGATGCTGGAGACAAACGGAAGAAGGAAAAAAGAAATGAAAAAGAAATAGAGAGGTGATTGGAAAAGTGTTTGGAGGAAATATTCCGAAGTTATCTTTAATAAGTTTCTGTTTTAGGTTTATGTGGGTTTTAAATTTGAAGGCATTTGTGTATATTTAAATGATTTTTCTGCTATATTTGAATTTTTTTACAAAAACTGACATTTTTGAAATTAAGGGTCAAGTTTTGGCTCTTTTCGATAAATTCTGCTAGTTTAGACTATCGTTTGTACTTAAAAAAATAGATATATGCTTTTGCACCACGTTTCTATTCTTCTTCTTTCCTTTTCTTTTTTCTTTTTATAAATTTCTTTAGGTAGATAAAACTCCTTTCATTTGATTGGATAATGCACGGCGTCAAATGAATCAAGAGACCAATTCTGAATGGGAAATGCGGCGTATGGCTTCAAACGAATAATAGCAAGGCCTTTAAACCAACCCCACTTCTCTTTCAACGAAGGGTAAAATTTGTATTTACTATGAACACAGAAATAAGATTTACATATAAACCAATTCTTCCCATTTATGCACCAATACACAACACAATCATTCCGTCGTCCAGTAAGGTTTTAGACCCAAACCCTATAGTTCCACCATTACAACGGGAGCCCTTCTCCCTTCTCATATAATACACACAACCTATATGAAGTATAAAGAAATTCTTATGCTCAACTCATGCTATGCTAAGATTGCATGAGCGAATCATATCAAACCCTGCTACTTGGGTACCTGGCTCTGTCCTTGAACTTGTGGTTTAGTTCGGCAAGCTGCAGACATCACCCGCAGGCGTCTGGTTATTTCTGTAAATGATGGGCGAGCAATGGGATCAGCAGCCCAGCATTGCTCCATTAGCAACTTCCACTCGGAATCACAATAGCCTGGCACAGGTGGCCTCAATGTGTTATTCACAATGCCTCCTGCAAACAAAGGAGGGGCATCCAAGTTAAGTATAATTTCCAGCCTTTCTTTCTCTCTGTTCTCTTGACTCTCCATACATGAAAAATCAGCAGGTGAGCAATGAACATGTGCAAAACCAGTAGGACTAATCAATGTCATAGTTAAGAACGGGACAAATGCTCTTTGTTGATCAATAAGTTTAGCCGTCCAATAGATTTTTCATAAAGTTTAAAATTAATCTACAATACCTTTTACTTCATTCATGATTCATCAGCCTATTCTAGTTCAATGGTTAGATTCCTCTTGTTCTATGCAAAAACAGACCATATAGAATTTCAAGATCCAACTTTATCATTAATGACTGGTTTTGTAGTGCTTAAGGTTAGCAATCTATGAAAATTGAATATCTGTTTTCTGAAAAAATTCATTACATGAATGAATTGAAATCCCTAAACTCAACCAAATCTGACAATATGCTACTTAAAAGTAACTTTAAATAAAATAAGTAAATAAATGAAATCAACAAGGGAAGGACTCGAGCATCAACTTCTTGAGAGAGTTAACTTTACGGATACTGGTTCATTATGTTATGCAAAAATTAACAAGATACTAAATGTGCTTGAACATCGGACTGAAGCCGAGTGAGACATCATGACAAGAGAGCCTAGTACTCACCTATGATTGCTCCATAATGCATATTGGCATAAGGCTCCTCACCAGTTAGTATCTCCCATAAGACAATACCAAAGGAGAATACATCAACCTGCCAACAGGCAAAAAGTGGCTCAATGACATGCATCAATGTACGGAAAAAGAAATTGGCTGAATGATATCAGGAATGAAAACCACAAGAATCTCTAACTTTCATGCATTCGAATACTGAATAACTTTTTTCTCCTTTTGGCCTCAGTTATTTTTATTGCTTAAACTATTTTGAACAAACACGCACACAAGTACTGTATCAGCCTAAAAGGCAGACAAGAACAGATTTAAGTCATCCTCCATTTGATTTTAAACTGCATATTATCCACTTAAGTTAGTGTTTCCCGTAGAGTATATAAGTTCAACAATCAGCTGAACTATGCGTTAGTAATATTCTTTTTCTACCAGTAAGCATTTAGAAATGAACTGCAGTATCCTACCTTTTCAGAAACCTTACTACTGCTACCATTAAGAAGCTCTGGAGCCATCCAGGGTAGGGTTCCCCTCACACCACCAGTAACTAAGGTGTTTCTTTTGATTTTTGACAAGCCAAAATCTCCAACCTGCAAAATTCAAGAATTTTCTGCTAAATACTTGTTTGATTTAGAACATAATTACTGTTCGGAAAAGAAGAAAAAACGACGATAATCACCCATTTAATAAGCAAGATTCCATCTTGAATTCCTAATCAACTACAGAATCTTACAAAGACAGCAAGAATTGTACAAATACCTTGCAAATGGGTCGTAAAGGGTCTTTCAAGTTCACAAGCAAATTGTCACATTTCAAATCAAAGTGTACTATGTTTTTTGAATGCAGATATTCCATTCCAAATGCTGCATCCATAGCAATAATGAGCCGCTTACGACGATCAAGATGTCTGGACATTCACAAAACCAAAGATTAAGAAGATTGGAGAGTCTGGTACACTGCAAAGGATTGCATCTTTGACATAACTAAAGAAAGAAATATTACCTCTCCTTGCTAAGTAAAACATGCCTCAGAGAGCCATTCACCATGAACTCAGTCACAGTGGCTAGTGTTCCTCCTGGTCCATTCTGGACAACACCATAAAATGCAACCACATTTGGATGGTGAAGCTTCGAAAGAATTTCGGCTTCACGCCAGAACTCAACAGTCTGGAAACAAAGAAAAAATAGAAGAAAGAAAAAGAGGATCAACAGTTATTGTTATTGGTATGTCACATGATTACTCGTTAATGAGCACAACGCTGTAGGTGAAGGCTGCCCTCCAACAGCCAGCACCCAGAGGTTATCATAAATATCTGAAACAAGGACAACTCTCAGACTAGACAATGGGGCGATCACAGCCAACTAAAATTAAATTTATGGATTCTTTATTGCCTTCATTACGCATAAGATGATATTGGAGATATTCATCACCATAGACTGAAAAAATGACTCACTCTGACTCTAGCTTAGTGAATTACTGAACAAGAAAACTATCTGTTCCGACTCACCAGTCTTTCTTGCTCTGATGAGCGCCCTGTGAAACAGCTCTTTTTTATACGCTTAATGGCAACATCTGTTCCCCTCCATTTTCCATGATAAACTGTCCCAAATGTGCCAGAACCCAATTCCTTAAGCTCTTCAAGATCTTCATTCTCTATGATCTGCTAGGAAATTCATAGATGACCAACAAGACAATTAACAGATTTCACAATTTCCATTTGCACCAACTGAACAGAGGACAGATGATAATCAGAAGGAAAAAATGTATGTCTGACGCAATATGATGAATGCATTGCAAAGATGTTTCATCAATCACTTCTGATGTGCAAAAGTTTAGATCCTTTCGAGACTAGTATGACAATGAAACTTGTAATGGACAAAACAAAGCCAAAATATATGACAAAGGGCACAAGTTATATTTGATATATTCTTTTAGACAGCGATTTAGATTCAAACAGTTGTTAACCTAGATTTGGCAGGGTGCAAACAACGGTAAGAAGAAGTTCAAAGCTAAGTTAGTAATGGCAGTGCCATTCTAGTAGAGGAATATTATACAATACATGTGATGTTTGAGGGATTGGTGGTTTCCAGATTGGGGGTTCCTATGACAACAGAACCACTAAAGAGGACATGGGGGGACTGTCAACACATCTAATAGGCAAGCTGAAGCGGCATAATTCTATGGTGGAAAAGCAAAAAAATTGCTCCCTAATACAACCCAAGTACTACTAAGCTTTAGTCAAACATTGCCTTGGCTTTAATTGAACAAGGATATGGGAAAATTTTATACCCAGGAAAAGAAAATAAATGAAAAATGAATCTGTATAGTTCACGGATAGGTTCCAGAGAAGAGCATTACTTTTAACTTTCCCATATTGCAAATAGAAAAAAACTGACTGTCATACCTGCAAGGTGCTAATATCAAATTCTCCCCGAGAAAGATCAACAAGAGAACCTGTGTTCTGAGTATTTAGCTCGCCATCCTATAAGAAAGTGCAAATGAAAATTGGTCAGAGGGAATCAAGATGGTAATAGTGTGATTTACTAGTAAAATATGGAGCAGATAGAGATACCTCATACTCTGATTCTCGTATTCCATGATTTACCCCATCCAGCTGCTCACTCTCAATTCCCTTGGGTGGAGAGGGATTGTATTCTGAAGCTAAATTCATGGTGTTGGGACTGGCTATACCAGATGATTCTTGACGAATATCCTCATCAAAATTTATATGGGAGTCAGTGTGACCAAAAACAACTCCATCAGGCTTCAAAGGTGGATAGCTGTAATCTACTGCAACTCCTTCTCGAAGATTGGTCAGTGGGGACGGGAAACCAAGATGGTCCTGATCCATAAGGGAAACATCTTTTCTAACAAATTCATTCTGAGCCAAATTTCGGAAATATGACCAATGCTTAGGCTCATGATTCTCCATGTTCAAGCTCAAGCCAGTTCCATCCCCAGGAAGTGGACTCATGCCAGAAAGGTCCCCTGAGATTCTAGCCTTGGAAAATATATCAGACAGGAAATCACGAGGAAATCTATCATTAATATCAATGAGAATATCTCCCTGCTCTGGGTTGCCAACCCCAGCAGTAGACTCAACATGAGCAACACCTTTAGCTGGGTTCTCTGTCCAAGACAATGGATGCACATGACCCTCAGCATTATTCCCTTGGTCCTTATTGGCGGCAACCTCAGTCCATTCAAATTCTGATGGAACTGAAGCAGATTCTTTAAGCTTACCAGAAGTTTCTTGACCAGCAGTTAGTTGAGTCCGCGCAGCCACTTCTTTATCATTGATAGTTGGGTCTTTGTAGTTATCTTTTAGCCGGCCCATTTCATGGCCATCCACAGAATTAACAGCTACATGTCTCAAGTCAGGAGTTTGTACCTTTGGCTCAAGCCCCTCAGGATAAGCATCAGAATTCATTTTGTTAATATTTTCGGCAAATTCCTTATACTTTTCAAATTGTGCCAGTCCATCTTCAACATGCAGTAGTTTTGAAGGTAAGCCAGACTGCTCAGACTGCAAAGGAACACTTTCATCACGCAATTTATCAACAGAGTCCGCAATTGGTTGTGAGTGATCAGAACGTGCCTGACTTATCATAAACTGAGAACCAAAAGAATCGCCAGATTTTGACAAACGGTTCAATTCTGCTTGTTCCCTGGGGATCCGCTCAGAATGATAGACACGCTGGGGAGCCACAGGCGGTTCAAGGTAGCTAAAGTCCATAGAATCAACCTCAGAGTCACCATATCTGGAATCAACCTCAGAGCCACCATATCCAGGATTAGACGGTCCACTCGATGTGTGGAATTGGTCATCTTCATTGTTCCTTTTCCCGTCATTTACATCTTCAGAGGTAATTGGATTTTGTCGAGGTTCCTGGAGCTTTTTGTTGCTTCTTGTAGCCATCAGAGATGATCCTGTCTCTGCGGCTGAATTGGCAACTGAAACTTCATCCCTAGAAATATAATTTGGAACTGAACCATCATATGGAGGTAGAGAAACAGCGTTCTCATTTTCTAAATTCCTAAGTTTATCACTTTCATTTATCTTATGGAGAGAGCTCTCTCTCTTCATTCTTGCTTCCTTTAGTGGAGCTTCCTTCTCTAAAGATTGAATTTTCTCAGGTTCATTTACCTTTTGCGCTAAGCTATCTCTTTTCAATTTCACCTCCTTTCTGGGCAATTCTGAATCTTGCCCATGTATGCCACCATATAGCTGCTCTTCAATCAAACCCCCTTGTTGAGTGGATTGTCCATATATAGCCATTGAATCTATGTTCCCTCCAGGCGTTGCATAGTGAGAAGGGTGAGAACCAAAATCATATTGCAATGGGGCAGAAGAGGGCACAGTAGTCTGTCCATCTTTCCCATGGAAGCTCTCCACAGTGTGGAAAGTTGTCAGTGGATGCTGTCTCGCTTCTCCACTGTGCATCTTCTGTCCCTGGTATGGGTGTGAATTGGATTCATAAGCACCTGAAGATCCTGGAAGTACTGATTGAGAAGATTGATTAGTTGAGGAAGGCACATTTGCTGCTGAAGGTGCTGTGCTAGCACCAGCTGTATCAGGTACTGCTCGAGTGCTCTCCCTTGCAACATTTAGACTCAGTAACTCTTCCAAATTGTTGCCAGAAGAACTTGCCAAAGCAATAGAATTTTTTCTTGAACCTAGGTCCATACCATTTACAGCAACTACATATTGAATCTCAGGATCACCATCTATGCTTTCTACACCAAACTGAGAATCCTCCAAATCAAGACTAGAAAACAGGAACATCCTAGGTTTCTGTGATCCCCCATCTTGTAGCACAGTGCATTCCTCCATCATGTTTTGCAGATCTTCATCACAAGAAACAGAAACAAGTGCATCAAGATCCTCACCGGGAAGCTGATACTTTATTGCACGAGTTTGTTCATAAATTGTCAACATTTTCTGCATAAGATCCTGCCAAAAGATATCCCTGTTTACCCGGATAATACGTGTTTCACCTCCAACATATCTAAGCCTTCCATCACTAGGACGAGGCAAAATTTTACCACCGAAGCTACAGAGAAACTTCAGTTTTCTCACTGAGCTATCAGATAGTCCTGAAGAGACATGACTGAGTCCTCGATTGATGTCATTCCTTGATGAGGTTTGTGGTAACCGTACCGAATCATAGTAACTCTTATCTTCATGTGCATAAGATGCCTTTCTTTCAAATTCCTGGACACGACTTTTTTCTACTGAGTTCATCAAAGAAATATCAGACCCACTTTCTGAACCTGTATGGCTAATTCCCAGTATGCCTTTTAGATCCATATAGTTAGGAGAGCTATTAGGATCCCCTGAAGCATGTGGAACTAAATGCTGCCTTGGGTTCACCCTCTCCCGCATAAATTCAAGAGCAAATTCCTCGCCGGTCTGAATGGAGTAATTCAACACAGGCCTGGCTCCAACAGCAACATTGTAATCTGGAGGTCGCATGTTAGCGTTAATATTACTTGATGGATCCGGGAAAAACCTTTGATTGGCAGACCCATGTCCCTCATTTCTAGTTTCAACAGTACTGTATCGAACTTGCTCGTAGTTTTTCTGTTGATCCATTGTACCTTTACCCAAATTTCGATCCATATGGTCTAACTTCACCTGGATAAACAGCCACGCCACAAAGCAGTAAATATGACACATGAGCATGCTCCCATGGGTAGCCAACTGCAATCTTTGCTATCAGAATACATTCTTCCAATGAAGCAGTCCTTAATTAGGAACCTATGGGAGTAAATGAGGTACTAGATCAGTCAACCAGAAGGATAATCTCTAAGCATGAGCAATGTATAAGAAAACAACCTTCTCCAACAAGACAGAAGCCAAAAGACTTGAAGCACCTTGAACAAATTATTCAATTTGAGTTCAAAACTCATCAATGATTTGAGAAACAAACCAGTGAATCCATATATAGATAATCAAGTCTAAAGAACAAACTACAGACTCAAACATTTTAACCTAACAACCTCTCATAATTATCTAATTTCAGAAATGCACTGATATTCACATACATACTTGAAGCACCTTGATAAACTTTGAAACAGGCTTCTCTAAACAATGAAAATGTTGTAAAAAAGAGTCACTTTAGAGGAGATTTCTACTTTTTCGAGATGATTTAAAGCAATACAGATACAAGCTTTGAAATATCATGTCCTTTTTCCTTCTTTATTTTCAGTGACCAAACAGACGATAAATCAACCCAATTGGAATCCAAAAGATATTCCACAATTCACATTGTTTGGATCAACTTACGACTGCATCAACAACTATAAATATGACTTCCATTGTACCCATTTGTATCCATATCATCTTTTTCATTCATTTTCTCAGCATGCAAACCGTTTCAACAAGTATACAGCTTGGTTTCCCCATAATAATATTGAAAAATAATAATAACTGCTAGTAACACTGTCTCAATAAAATTGGAGAATTTCATGAATTTACTTGTGAAATTGACTAAATCAGAAAATCGGTAGACTAGAAAGACTAAGAAGACTTGAGCTAGATTTTGAGTCACCGACATGCAAATCAGATTCAAGATCCAAAACCCACAGAATCAAACCCAAAAAAAATAAACCCTATTCGAGTTGACATAAACATAAAAACATAAAAACCCAAAATTCACAACAATCAGGCAAGATTTTCAGCATATGAACTCCGACCCATTCAAATTCACACAAAATCAGCTCAAAATTGAACATCAAAATCCCAAAATAACAAAAAAGACCATAGCTTGTAAGAGATCCAGCTGAAATTAGTACAATAATACAATAATGGGTGAAACGAACACAAAACTGATCGCAAAAAAACAATAATGATGAAGATTAACATAATAATTACCTTCGAAAACAATAACATAGATCAATGAAGAACACAAACACTGACTGTGAATATCCCCCTCTCTCTCTCTCTCTGCTGCTCTCTGTTTATGCGTCTTATAGTTGAAACTTTCTGTGAGCTCAAAGACTCTCTTTTTTCACATTTCTTTTCTTTGTTTTTTAAAGAAGATTTTGGAAATTTACGGCTCTCAGAATGGTAACGAATTTTTTTTATTTTCCACAGAGAAAAAAGAAAATTTGATCTTTTTAATTTTCTATTTTTGTTTATGGAGAGCCCACGCGCTTTAGGAGCTCGTGCACAACACTGTCCACTTGGAGGGGGGATATTCCTTGGCAGGCTTTGGATGTGCTGCAACAGTACTTGGTTACTGTGTGAAGAACTTAGAACGAATATGTGTACACATGAAACCTGGTTGGATTTTCTAATAGAATTGGGTGTGCTTTTTCTACTAGATGCACCTGCTAAAGTGTTATACGCACCTCATTTTACCCTAATTGGAAATGTTGCACAACTTATATGGTACTTTTGTAAATTTTGCACTCACCAAGTTCGGGGGAGTTTTAGCTATTTGGGGTAAGAATATTTGTCTCTATCAAAAAGAAGTTGATAATCTAACTAAAAACTTGCATGCCAATTATTGAATCATATATATATATATCAACGATTGAGATGCACTTTAGTCACTCTCACATGCATCTCAGCCGTCCATAAGAGATTTTTTCTTTTCTTTGTTGAGACTATCTATATTGTGATAATGTAAAAGAAATAGAATAGCACTGGGTTTTTTCAATTGTTTTTTAAAAGAAATCGTATAGCCGAGCGGCTATACTTGGTTTTTTCTAATTTTTTAAAAGAAAGCTATACTGAGTTTTTTCAGTTTTTTTTTATAAAATAAATAGATTAGCTGAGCGGCTATACTCGGTTTTTCCCATTTTTGTAAAGAAACAGTATAGCCAGGCTGCTATACTCCTTTTTTATTTTTTTTTAAAGATCGATACTGGCTATTCTTTTTTTTTTTTTTTTTTTTTTTTTTTTTTTTATACTGGTTTTGCACACATCTTAAAAACTCGATAAAATTCGCGTTTTTTTAAAATCAAACATACGATACTCATATTGAACATGTATGTACATATTTTTCATGTTTAATGCACGTATTATCACATAATTATCACATATTATTGAATACATATAATATATATTAAAAACATAAATATATTATATTAAAATATTATATAGTTGCCGAACTTTAAGTTGTAATTTGCCGAATAAAACACATACATATTTTATTCGTATAGCCGGGCGGCTATACTTTGAATGTTTTTATTAAAAAAAAGTATAGCCGGTCGGCTATACCCTTTTTTGGACACGTGGCACATTAGAGGAAGAGGGTCATCCTTTTTTTATATAAAGTACCGCCGCACAGCTATACTCCGTGCTTTTAATTTATTTAAAAAATAAAACAATGTTGACACTTGGCGACAAATAGCTGGGGTTTCTTTTAAAAGTAGTATAGCCGGGCGGGTTTACTGTTTTTTTTTTATAAAAAAAATTGTCTTTAATAAATAGTATAGATGCGCGGCTATAGTCTTTTACATATATGCATATATATTAATGTAAATATTTATATGTACATACGTATGTATTTTTCAATAATACATTCGTGTTCTATACACGTCACACGTTTTTAAAAAAGCAAACATACAATAGTCATATTGTACTTGTACGTACGTATTTGTAATGTTTTATACACGTATTGTTTTCAAAATTTTCAGTAAGATGCACAAAATTCACGTATTATACAAATACTTCTAACATATTATTGAATAAGAATAACATATGTTATAAAAATTACATTAAAATATCATATAGTGGAAGATTAATATCTACTTTGGATGAGCGCACCATCAACCAAGCAACTAGAATTAGATAACTGTTTGAAGAACAGCCACATGTATCAACCCTCATATATGTTACATCTTTTTTCCACAACTTTCTGCAGAATTTGTACCCAACAGATGCATGAATATCCTGCTCTTGGTGAAACTAGAACTTTACTGGTAAAGGCCAGGATGAATAGAAAGAACATGCTCAGTTGACTCATCCACTGAATACTGGAGGATCTACATTCTTTCATCTGATGAATGACAAATCAAAGGTTTTGTGAACAAGAGAGACAGAAAAATGAAATGCTTTTTCTATTCAACCCAATTAATATCCAAATGTTTTAGTTCTGAGATCCACTTTTGTGTATCTTGAGATACATAGGGATCAGATGGTGCCACTTTCTCTCCATCTACATCAGTTGATACTACATAATCAAGTTTTACATCCCTGGCAAGGTTCGGCTGTCGATTAGGGTGCCGCACCTTGAGCGACAGTAGACGTGAAACCTCATGAAGGCCTCCCCACTTTTCTAATGCACGCGCAATGTCGTAGCGCCCTGTAAAATGTTGAAAACAGAATTGGTTTTATAGGAAGATACAAAGAATAGTATTTACTTAGTAAGGTGAAACAACCTAGGTTCCTAGTAAACAAATTGTAGCAGAAACAAAAAGACAAGGAAAAACTAGGTCTGGCTAGCTGCGGACTGTTATGTCCCTCTCAAACATGCAATGGCTATGCCACAGTAAACCATCTAACCAAATATGAGATCATAATCTCCTTCTATCAAGTCCTAGGCCTTTCCTCAAGGGTAAAGTAAATTGGTGGTTTGAGGTAAGTCTTAGGTTCAAATCTTGTCCAGTTACATGAAATTTAAAAAAAATAAGAATAAGGAAATCAAACAAAAGGAGTAACAAATCAGTAGTATATACAATACAACAATCTTCATGTTGTTGGTCATTTCTTACCTGCACGCTCAAATGACTTTCTACTGGGCATGAATGAAGGGTCCATTCCCCAGCTCCTCTGAAATCGATTAATCTGTATGTAAAATGGAATTCTGTTAAACCAGGGAGTTTGAGCTCTTCTCCTTTTTTTCTATAACAAGAGATTTAGCACACGTTATGATTACAGCCTACCTCTTCCTGCAAATTATCAAGGTTGTCCCAATAGCCCTTTGGTTTTCGATGTTTATAAGCAAGAGAGAGGTTCATCAATGTTGCAATCCTCCGGAATCCACCCATGTGTGTGATTGCTTTCTCGATATCTACCCTCCCATGTAAACGAAGTTGCTTTCTCATGGGCATAAATCCTTCCTGCCCATGCTCTGAAATAAATTTCAGGAGCTCACTTTTCAACACTTCAATATCCCTCTGCAAGCCTGGTACTCTCGGCCTTTGCCTAGATGAACTTTGAGCATTGGTTTCAGAAAGCCGATCAACTGTTATACAACTTTCATCATCACGGTCTGTGCTAGATGAAGCGGTTTGTTCCTCCCTATATATACTTTCATCACATGCTTTCATTGAGTGTGCCGCCTCCCTCTTTTCTACGTAATCTCGTATGGTACATAAATTTGAAGGGAGATCTTCATATATAACCTACGATGACATGACAAATAGATATCAATAGATTGTCCTTTTCAAGGCTCAACATGTAATTTTAGATCAAACATGGAATGCGGACTGATTTCGTATTTACGAGTTGGGTTTAATGTGGATAAATTATTAAAGTTAATATAGAAAGAGATGGGATTGCAAAAATAACACAAACCTCTTCCATGATGGCTTCAGAAAGAAAAGTATCCTTGCGCATTTTCGATTCCACAGAGTACTTTAACAGTGTGTGATGACTTCCTAGCTGCTCAAAAACCCATTTACCTCTAAATGAGTCAAAGTCCCCTTCAACCTGTTCAAAACTTATCTCCTGTTCAAGCTGTTCACACAAGTCTAGGACAACACGCGCATGAAGCACCATATAAAGTAAGCCCTTGCATCCTTCCTGCACATTACAGGAAAAGTAAGTTAACTTGTGTATGACTTTTAAAATGATTGGCACTCTCAGATCACTTAAGAGTATTACAATGACATATCTTTAGCACCATTTTTTAACGATCAGAGATTGCCTATTTATACAGCTTGAGCTATAGATTGTCCTCTTTATTAACTAATAAGATCCACAAAATGTACATTTAGAGATCAGACACATTATCTGATCCCAAAATTAAAAAAGACTCTGTAGAAAAAGTATGGTCTTAGTTTACAGTTAATGGAAAGACTGCTAGTACCTGAACAATGCGGACTTTGTTGTTTTCTCTTGACAATATCCTACTGATTGCCAAATTTGGGACTATCCTGAAAAGTTTAATTTCATATGCAAAAAGAATCAGGTAGATGAAAGCAATCGTAAAACAAACTTGCAGGAACTAATAGAATACCTTTGTTTCATTACTTTTCATTTATGTTATATATGGATACTTTTTCAATGAACATATGATTTTACTACAGCAGACAAGACAGGAAGCAAAGGCAAAGTACAATCTTATAACCAACTTACCACTATGGTTGGGGAACTACAGTCTATCATTGGTATATAAGCATATCTGAGACAATTCTAACTAATATCCCATGAACTCCAACAAACTCGAACACCCTTGTACCCTATGCTAAGTCTCAACTCAGCTGCTTAGCTGATTAAGGCTTGTGATATATCTTCACATTTCTCTAAATCATTTTGATTCCTTTTTTACTTACTTATGATTTGATCTTTCTACCAACCTCTTCATTTGGCTTTCCAAAATATTACCTGTCTAACTATAAGCAGTCTGGAAACTAGCCGGAGTGGGAACTGCTTATATCAACTATGTATATAGATGCATAACTCAACACAAAAACGAGTAGATATTACTTACTCAGGAAGACTTTCATAAGCCGTCAAAACATTCCATACTTCACGAACAGGAGCTTTTACTGTTATGCTAGCAACAACACAGCGATGAACACCTCCATTTTCCTTCAGCCAAAATCATTTTATCATTAATTGCTACACAGAAGAGGCTCTCTCTAGGACAAAAAGGCTAGGTTGAATAGTCCAGGGTCAATTTTTTACCAATAGACCATCAAATCTACGAAGATGAACCTCATCCACCAAGCAAGGCCTATCAAGTCTGCATACTTTTCCAAAAACACCCCAGTTACTGTTCAACTCAGTAGAAGATGGGGGCAATGAACCAGAATTAGAGCCAGCAACATTTTCTTTAAACTCATTAAGTGGATAATCCTTTTCGCACAAAGAACCATCGATGTTTTTGGGGGGTGAACTAGTAACAGCCATGGATGTGCTAGGCAGGGAACTTTCTGTTATTGTTATCTTCTGATCCCCTAAAAAAGTCTTTTCAGATCTACAGGCCAAGGCCCGAAGATTCACAGGAAGATCTGATCTGATTATTCTCTCCAAGAAAATGGCTGGGAAGTTGAATCGTGGTATCACATTAAGTTCATATGATAAAATTGCTGATGATGACCTGAAATCATCAGTGAGAAATGAGAAAATGAGAAAATACAACACAACTTCAATAGCCGATACAACGTTATCTTACAAACTGAGTACTTCTATCCCACCTTGTCCCGCATCTAACAGACCATTTGCCTTCAAACTTCTTGAAGTCCCCATCAACCATGGAAAAGTGGAGCTCACGATCATTATCACTCTAAAAAAATCATCAACAGCAAATTACAAAGAAGCAAGCATAAGAACTTCAGAGTAACCCACTTGCATATTAGCATCAAACCCACATACGTATAGGAAATGAATTTGTTCCCTATCCACCATATTTAACCAAATTTTAAGCATTAAGAAACAACAATTGGGTTTTAATTTAGATACCCACTAAGTTAGGAAATTCTTGAAGGTCCAAAACAACCCGAGCTTCAATATGCCAATACAGTGCCCTCTGCAACCCTCTCTGCTCCAACCATATACGTCCTGGATGTGGACATGGAATTCTCCCACTACAACCACAAGCATTGATCAAAAGGATCACTTGATAAACTGATAAAAATTAAATATTTAAATAAAATCACTGAAGGCAGTACCTGGAAACAAGATTGGGAATGAAGTCAGCGAGACGCTCATAATCAGTGAGAGCGTTCCAAACCGAATCGATATCGGCATTCACCGAAATTTCGGCCTTGATTCGGCGCTCCCTCCATGAAATCATGTCCACTTCACAATGGACCTTTCTCTCTCCTTCTTCCTCTGCCTCTTCTGGGTTTCTGGGTTTCTTGTAAACAGTGCTGCTGCCATCCTTATTGTTGTTGCCTGTGAAATGGCGGTAGTGATTCCATCTGGGTCCATCTGCTAAGGAAGAAAAGACCATGCACTTCTTGTTGTGCGGAGTGTGGCATGTCCTGTACAATTGTACATGTTTAAGGCCTCTTTTGGAAGTGTAGAGTGGAGGGGGAGCTCCATGGTTGAACTTTGAAGCTTTGCAGGTGATCATGGAGGTGTGAGAGGAAGTGGGTTTGTGACTGAAGAGCCAGAGAGTGAGAGATAGTGATGAAGACTGGAATTGTTTTTGGAATTTCGACCGTTAATTGGTAACCACCAATTTTCTTTGGGTGTTGTGGCTCAGTGGACTTGAAATTGTGTGGTAGGAAATGGGGCAGACTTTGCCTGCACTTTCCAAGCTTCGGCGGGTTGGGCTTTATAGCGCCAACTACAAAACCCACACGGCTTTGATCCATTCTGTTTATTTGTTGTTTTCATTTCGAAGTATGAAAAATAATAACAAAATTGCAAACACTTGTCTTCTGGTTTTAATTTTGGTTAAATTTTTTTCATTTTTTTTTTGTCAAGTTAAATTTTTTTCATTAAAAAATAAGAAGTTATAAGTATGTGGATATTACCAGGCAAGTAGAAAAAGATAAAAATGAAAATAAAATGAAAAATTAAGTGAAAGAAATAAATGATGTTAAAGAGGATTCCCACAAGGCCTTTTATAGTTACATTGAAACGGAATAAACATTTTACTTATTCTTATTCTCATCCCTGGCTAGGGCTAACTTTAAAGAATAAATGCACAAGTTTCTTCAAATCGCATAAACTTAAACTTACAACTGAAATGAAGATAGATTTTGTTGTTTTTCTTTGCTTGGTGGTGTCAACATGAACACAACTTTAGTGACAACTTGGGGTGGGCATCGAGACCGGAAAACCGGAATATCGAGCCGCACTAGATGGAAAAACCGACAAAAAATGTTGTTGACTACAAAGTTAACAAACCGGCACCTAAATGGATCAAACAAGTTCAAACCAGTTCTTGTGCCGATTTCACACCTTACAAAATCGAAATGAACTGGACCGACTGCATATTTAAGTCCAATGCTAAATTTCTAATCCCATAACTAATATTTCCCCAAGCCCAACTTTAAAACACCTTCTTTTCTATGCCCAATAATATATCTTTACATAAATTCAAATAATTTGTGAATTTTTAAGCCCAAAAAATAAAATTTTAGTTGGGATTTGTGGAAAAAAAGAAGAAGAAGAAGAAATATATATATATATATAATATCCGTTCCGAAACTGGAAAATTTGAAAACTGCACCGAAATTGGTTTAAATCGGATTGGCTGATTTCAAAAAAAAAATCACCAAAATCAAACTGAATCGCATATGTTGAATAGTTCTAGTGATGTGAGGTGAAAACTGTCATTGAATTTTCCTGTAATGAATTGGAATAGTTAAAATTTAGAAAATGGGAGGAAAAATGTTTTAAGAAGTAAGAGGAATTGGTTGTGGTTTAAGGCAAGGTAGAGAAATGCAAATTTAGTAAGTAGTTGTTCTACATGTCACGCGTGTCATTTACGTAGTAACGACAACTCTCACTATTATAGAAAAGAAAAGAAAAACTCTCGTTGGATAACAATAATGACAAGTCTCGTTTACTTTAAGTTTTGGATCATTCGTGTTCCGTTAGTACTCCAGCACTTTGGGACAGAGCATAGACGCAGTTTGTCACGGTTGGCGCATAGTTTAAACACCACATCCACATCGAAACTCGGAAAACTATTAACAAGTGTATCGTGAACATTTAATTTGTTGGCTATAATTAAAAAGAACAAAAAAAAAGGAAAGAATCTATAATTAAATTTGTATCCAAATACAGCAAACAACCACCTGCATATTGCATGTATATTTGAAATTCCAATTCCATGTTCAAAATATTCATCCCTAAAACAAAAACTTGTCCCTTTTTTGGGTTGACATACTTAAACTTGTTTTTACCTCCTCAAACAAGTAAAGCCAAATCCTAATTATAAAGATTCGTGATCTATTCCCCCACATAATGAACTATTTCTGAACTGTTTAGCTGTCTCAAGATGGGATTTCATACCCTTTTTGAGGATTTCCTCCAAAACTATATACTAACAAGTCAGTCCTCATTAGATCTCATTCTTTTTTTCCTTTTTATTTATTTATAATTTTTATAACATAGTAAGCAAAAGCTGAGCAAAACAAGAAAAAAGCAAGAAAGAGAAGGCTGCAAGTGAAGATAAAAGTTCGAGAAACCAAAAAAAACAGACACTCCATTCGAAAACCAGCTAGCAATTGAGTGATCATGAGAATAGAATAGAAAGAGGGAAAGACGTCCTTCTCCCCTCTAAGCACTTTCTCTCTCTAAATGTGTACATATATAGCAGAAGAGTTTTGTGGCGGAAGAGAGAAAAAGCAAAGCAAAGCAAAGAGAGACAGAATGGGGAAAAGAAAGAAAAAGGGAGAATATGGGCAGTGAGAGAAAGTGAGGAAGAGTCTCTGGGGTTGCCACGTGGCAAGTTTTGAATGGTGTTGAGCTTCAACTACAAGAACAACAACAACATCAACCAAAACAAGAAGAAGAGCACCACTTCCTCTCTCTTCTCTCTCTCTCTCTCTCTCTCCTGCCATGTCAGAGTGTAACCCCGTCCCTATGACCCCGGCGAATCCGTATTTGTATGCTTCTCTCTCTAAAAGTCTCACACTTTCTCTCTCTAAAAAAATTAAAAAGGAAAATTAATTAGATTGGAAAAACAAAAACTATCTCTTTCCTCTCTATTTATTTCATTTGTCTCCCTTCGCTTTCTCTCTCTTTCTCGTATCTCTCACAGCCTGCCTTCCATGCCCTAAACCTCTCCCACCTCCCCTACCTCTTCAGCTCTTTATCTCAATCTAGCTATCTGGCTCTTTTGCTCTGTATATTGGGTTTTTGATCCATTACTTGATTGGTAAGCTTCTTAATTCATCTGGGCACTCTTTGTTTCTTTGGTTCTTGCTCATTTCCTGGTTGGTATGTTTTGGGTTTGTGAATTCGTGTGACTTCGAACTCACCCATTTGTGCTTTTTTGCTCATTCTGATGTGGGTTTTGTTTGATTCTTGAAAGATTGTGTTTTTAAGCTTCGATTGATGTGGAATGGTTGGTGTTTTTGTATAGTGGCGTATTGGTTTTCTAAATTGTGTTAGAAGTCATGAATAGGTGGTGAAATGGGGTTTTGTGTTTGGCAGTAGTTGAATGTGTTTGCATGATTAAGTTCTTTTGTTTGATTGTTAATTCTATCACTACTTTGGTAGATTGCATTGGGCATTTGATAAGTGATAGTTTGGAAAAGATGGTTCAATCGTTCAATTGTTGGGTCTATAGTATGTCGGATTTAGCACTAATGTTACAGTACATAAACTAGTTCTGTTTGCCGTTTGTAGGTTACTAGATTGTCTTGTTAGCTGATGATGCTCCGAAGTTGGCATTCGGCAATGTACCTTATAACTGTTAATCTCATCTGAGATTTGAGTGATTAGCACTTTTGTAGCAGATCTTAAGGCTGAGTTAGTGGGGAGCCTTCACTGTGACCCTTGGTAGCAGTTAAATAATTCGTTTTTATATGTCCCAAATATTGATCGAATTTGCTTAGCTCTACTGAATCTAAATATTAGTCCGCTCAGTCACCTGCATTTCCTTGACAAACTTGCTGTAGTTTATATAAAGTTGTTATCTTTATGTTAACATTAACTGTTAATGTAAAAATTTGCAGTGCCTGAATATGTGTGTGGAAGCTCTGATGCCTTGACTAATTCATCGACGTGCTTGCTGTCACTGTTGACCACGTATGTAGGACCGAAGACTAAAAGATGAAGGAAGGCAGTTCTTCACCGAGTAAAATGATTAACAGAAATTGGGTCTTGAAACGAAAACGTAGAAAGCTTCCTCATGGACCTGATATATCTAATGGCAAAGAAGACGGTTCAGCAGCCTCGGAATCTCCAAGGAAGGCTTCCTCTTCAGCTAAGCGCAGGCTGAATAATGAAATAGTTTCTGATCGATTTTCATCCAAGAAGAAAGGAAATGACGGGGTTAGTTTTTATATAATTGATTAATTGGTCGACCGTTTTTATTTAACCTGAAGAATTCATAAAGCAAATCCTCACTAGAATAACTTTATCATAGGGTGGTAATTTGCTTTCCAGTTAGTTTTTTTGATATTATTCTTCAATCACTCTAGTATGATCTTTGTTTATGGTGGGGGTGTTTTAATTCAAACATTTACAACATGTGGTTTCCAATTCTCCATAGGAAAGTTATTCAGCAGCCTACCTACTTAAGTCATCTCTCAGGCGCATGCATGTTTTTGTGATTTGAAATACTATAAGAAGCTCTTTAAGGAACAGCAGCTCAATGTTTTGAATAGCCATGAAAATGGAACCAATCTAGTTTGCCTAAAGTTAAATTTTTTCCTGGGTCACATGATATGTGGATGATAAACGTCAGAGGTTTGATCAATGGAAGGCGAAGACACCTCCGAAAATTCAATTTTTTGTTTGGCTGGCAGAAAATGGCAAGATTAATACTTGCGATAGCATTCAAAGGAGGCAACCAATGATGTGCTTATCCCCTTCTTGGTGTGTTCTTTGCAAAGAGAATGCAGAAAACATTGATCACTTGTTCATTCATTGTTCGTATTCCCTAAAATTATGGTGGAGGATGTTGGGTGCTCTCGGAGCAGAGTGGGTGATTCCTAAAGGATGTTTTGAGCTCCTTAGTATCAATTTGAGGGTTTCGGGAAGGGGAAGAGAGCTGGAATCCTTCGAGATTGTCTAGTGCATGCGATATTCTGGAATATCTGGATGGAGCGCAATTGAAGAATTTTTCAGGGTCATATAGGAGTAAGGGTTGAGGAATTATGGGATAGAATTAAATTTTGGGCATCTCTTTGGGCTTCGGTTTCGGGGCAGTTCAAGGATTATCACTACTCTATCATCATGAGAGACATGATGGCAGTCCTGAGATGATTCTACTGAAGTTTGTGTTTTTTTAATTGCAGAATTTTTTTCAATCTTAGTAGGTCAGACACTCTTTTTTTAGGTTTTGTTGTTCGATCGAGGATTTTTTCCTCTTGATTATCAATACAATGTTTCTATTCAAAAATAAAATAAAAAAATGGAAGAGTCCAAGTGACAGAAATGGGAACTATTATTTTAGAACATGTTATTGAGAATACAATTTAGTTGCGAACTGAGGGTTTCTGGTCTGCTGAAGGTTTAGAGAAACACAAAAGTGGGCTCGTGATTTTTTAGGTTTTGCATTTCTGTTGAGTCTTTTGACACAATATGTGGTGGTAATACATATTAGTTTATAAGACTGACGGCAAGGTCTCCCAAATACAGTAACAGCATATGTAGAGCAGCTTACACTGCCTACAGGGTACAAAATATTATGCACATTAGCAGCCACATGTTTGTGTTAGGGTGATGATTGTTCTATGCTTTTTAAGTTGGACTTTAGGTCAGGTTGTGACATTATTTTTCTATTCACTTTTTGGTCTTTGGTTGTAATCAAACTTCTTTACAATTTTTTGAAGTTGTGTTCCAATTTGGCCAGCACTGAACTCTATATGCCACATTCCACCTTGTTACATTTAGGTTTATGCAAATTTTGGCAGTACTCTTCCCTGCTAATTCAGCGGGATAGTTGTGCGTGTAATCTTTTTATCACTGCAGTTTGAGAACAAGTGAAAACATTCATCCTGTTAAATATCGTATTTTGCTCGTTTTGTCTGTTCTGTAACATTAATTCTTATTAAACATGCTCTGACTTCATGCAATATTTTGTCTAATCCCAGTATTTCTATGAATGCGTCATCTGTGACCTTGGTGGTAACTTGTTGTGTTGTGATAGCTGCCCCCGAACCTATCATCTCCAGTGTCTTAATCCACCTCTAAAGGTATATTTATTTTGACGGCACTGTGCTAGCTTGTTTTTTCATGATCCATTTTCTTTGGTTTAGCTGTACTAATATGCCATTCTTGTTTTTCTCTTTTTGTTGTAAATTCTTTATTGTGAAATTCATCACCTGAAGCGCATTCCAAATGGGAAGTGGCAATGCCCAACTTGCTGTCAGAAAAGTGATCTGCTTGAGCCCATAAACTATTTAGGGGATACCATTTCAAAACGAGCAAGAACAAAGAGTGTCACTGCTAAGTCCAAAACTGGAGTTATGTCATCTGAAAGGGAAAAAGTATCACAGATTTTTGGAAACTCCATTGTTGCAAAGAAAAGATCCTCAAGCAAAGGAAAAACTATTTTAACTCATGGAATCAAATTCTTTGAAAAGAAACCATTCTCCCAGATAGATATACCTTGTAGCACCAAGCCGAGTCATTCAACAGTTGGTGGTTCTGTGGACGGTATTTCATCATGTGAGAATGTTGACGATAAAAAAAGATCTAACTTTTCCCCAGAAGATGATTCCACAGACAGAAAGTTGAGCTCTCCTGCTAAAGAAGTTTCATCTCATTCTAAAGTTACAGCTTCGGAGACAAATGAAGAAGCTCCTGAGGAATTTGCCTCTCCTGAGGTGAAGCCTGTCCTGTCTTGTACTGATGCATCTCCACGTAAGACCATAGTTCTTGCGATCAGTGCTACCACTGGCAAGGCCAGAAAAAGGAAACACAAAGGCAATAACGATAAGAGTAAAAAGAAGAAGAAGACCGATAAGGGAAAATCTGTTAGTACTTCTAAACAATCTGGATCTAAAGCAAGTACTGCAAGCCTGAGGATTGGTAAAGCACTTCGTAAGCATAAATCTGTCAACCACGGGGTTTCTGCAACCTTGTCAAGAGAGGACATTGAAATCAAGAATTCAGATGTCCAAAACAAAGACGAGGTATCTTTCAATTTTCTGATTCTATATTGAACCCTTGTTTATATGTAGGGATCATCATTGGTTGTTGATAACTTCTTAGTAGTTTTCATAATCATGCTGGCTTATTGTTACTGTTTATTATGGTTAATTTAGGAAATATATGTTCCTGCTGTAGTTGTTAATGCTGGGATTTTGTCCTTCTTTATAGTTATATGTAGTAAATATCATTGTTATTTTTTTTTCAGGAGCTTCCTGAGGGAGAAAAAGACCCGTCACATAATGTAGATAAAGCTGGAAGTCATGTAGTCGAAACACTAATTTGTAATGATAGTTTTTCTGCTGAACCTCTGCAGGTAAATGAGTTTCCTAGAATGTTGTGTAAAAAAATGAATTTTATTGAATGTTTTTGTTCTGGTTTATATATAGACAATATGCTCCATGTTTTGGTTACTTAATATCACCATACAGATTATTTTGTTTCTTGCATGCCCGTGTCACAGGTTGATCGAGTTTTGGGATGTCGAGTTCAAGGTGATAATGCTGACTCTCGTCACTTATCTGTGGCAGCTGCTCATGATCTGTGTTCTGCTGATTTGCAAGTCTCAGATACCCAAACCAGATTATCAGATGGGAATTCTGCATGTGATAATGACTTGGATGTTGGAGCTGCTGAAAATCTTACTGAGGGTTGTGAAAATGTTGTCAAGGGTGCTGATGGGGATGAAAGTATGAAGGATGATGTTAGAGTGGACAAAATGAATGTGTACAGAAGATCCATGAACAAAGAAGGTAAAAAAGCTAACTCCATGGATGTGCCGAGGATGGGTACTAAGGATTTGAGTAACATAAATGGTAAGGATCAAGATGAATCTGCTGTAACTGCAGATGATTCGGGAAAAACACATGAAAGAATAGTGACTGTGGGGACTACCAAAGTTAGTTTGAAAAGTCATGATGATGATGAGGTTCCAGAAATTGAAACACACGTCTCTCCTGACACCAAAGACAAAAAAGATGTAGATACAGAAACTGGAATTAATAGCAGCGCTCAAAACAAAAGTCAGGGGCCCTCCTCACTGGCTGAACCTTCAGGTGGTAGCTGTGAGACGGTGTTGTATGAATTTTTAGTTAAGTGGGTGGGTAAGTCTAACATTCATAATAGTTGGGTTTCTGAATCTGAGCTAAAAGTCTTGGCCAAGAGAAAACTAGAAAATTACAAGGCCAAGTATGGAACTGCTGTTATAATATCTGTGAGGAACGATGGAAGCAACCACAGCGGGTGATTGGTCTCCGTGGTTTAAAAGATGGCTCAGGTGAAGCTTTCATAAAATGGAATGGTCTTTCTTACATCGAATGCACTTGGGAAAGATTGGATGAACCTGTCATTCAAAATTCTCAGAATCTGGTCGATCTATTTAATCAATTTGAGCACCAAACACTGGAAAAAGATGCTTCTAAGGATGATTCAAGAGGGAGGGATAGTTGTCAGCAAAATGAAATAGTTACTCTGACAGAGCAGCCTAAGGAACTGAAGGGAGGGTCATTGTTTCCCCATCAGCTTGAAGCACTCAATTGGTTGCGGAAGTGCTGGCATAAATCCAAGAATGTAATACTGGCTGATGAGATGGGGCTTGGTAAAACTGTGTCAGCTTGTGCTTTTCTTTCGTCATTATATTATGAGTTCAAAGCCACTCTGCCTTGTTTAGTCTTGGTTCCACTTTCCACAATGCCTAATTGGCTTTCTGAGTTCGCATTATGGGCTCCTGAGTTGAACGTTGTGGAATATCATGGGTGTGCTAAAGCAAGAGCCATTATTCGCCAGTATGAATGGCATGCTAGTGATCCGAATGCATTGAATAAAAAAACATCTGCTTATAAATTTAATGTTCTTTTAACTACATATGAAATGGTTCTTGCTGATTCCTCACATCTCCGTGGGGTTCCCTGGGAAGTTCTCATAGTTGATGAGGGTCATCGTTTGAAAAATTCAGGAAGTAAGCTTTTCAGCTTGCTTAATTCCTTGTCTTTCCAACATCGTGTACTGTTGACTGGTACCCCTCTTCAGAACAACATTGGTGAAATGTATAACTTGCTTAATTTCTTGCAGCCGGCTTCATTCCCTTCACTATCTTCATTTGAGGATAGGTTTAATGATCTTACAACTGCAGAAAAAGTGGATGAATTGAAAAAACTTGTTGCTCCACATATGCTTCGGAGGCTTAAAAAGGATGCTATGCAGAATATCCCTCCTAAGACTGAACGGATGGTTCCTGTTGAGCTGTCCTCTATCCAAGCTGAATACTACCGCGCAATGCTCACAAAGAATTATCAGATATTACGGAATATTGGGAAAGGGGTGGCACAGCAGTCAATGTTGAACATTGTAATGCAATTAAGGAAAGTCTGCAATCATCCGTATCTCATACCAGGCACTGAGCCTGACTCTGGGTCTCTAGAGTTCCTTCATGAAATGCGGATAAAAGCTTCAGCCAAGTTGACTCTGTTGCATTCTATGCTTAAGATTTTGCACAAAGAAGGTAACAGAGTCCTAATCTTTTCACAGATGACCAAGCTACTAGATATCCTTGAGGATTATTTGGCCATAGAATTTGGACCTAAAACATATGAGAGAGTAGATGGCTCTGTTTCAGTCACTGATCGTCAATCTGCAATTGCGCGTTTTAACCAAGATAGAAGCCGATTTGTCTTTTTGTTATCAACACGCTCTTGTGGCCTTGGTATCAATTTGGCAACAGCTGACACTGTCATTATCTATGATTCTGATTTCAACCCGCATGCTGATATCCAAGCTATGAATCGAGCACATCGAATTGGACAGTCAAAACGACTTTTGGTATATAGGCTTGTAGTTCGTGCTAGTGTTGAAGAGCGCATCTTGCAGCTTGCAAAGAAGAAACTTATGCTTGATCAGCTTTTTGTGAATAAGTCGGGATCCCAAAAAGAAGTGGAAGATATTATAAAATGGGGAACAGAGGAGCTTTTTAATGATTCTCCTAGCGCTGATGGAAAAGATACAGATGAAAATAATAGTAACAAAGATGAGGCAGTGACAGATGTAGAACATAAGCATAGGAAGCGAACTGGTGGCCTGGGGGATGTGTATAAGGATAAATGTACAGATAGCAGCAACAAGATTGTGTGGGATGAAAGTGCAATTTTAAAGTTGCTAGACCGTTCAAACCTTCAGTCTGGATCAACTGATATCGCTGAAGGAGATTTGGAAAATGATATGCTTGGCTCAGTAAAGGTAAAGTATTAAACTTTCTAATGCATTTGTTGTTTATTTATACATTGATAATAAGTTTTATGGTGATTTTATAATCAGTTTACCACTTTGAAATCATTACTGTTTGAGTGTTTTTTTCCCGTTTGATTTGCTGTTTTTGTTTTTTTTTTTTTTTTTTTTTGTTTTTTTTTTTTTTTTTGTGACTATATTTTACTTGGTGGTTTCATTACAAATTATTTTTGTTGCCTAAGGCAACTTGTATTCCCATAACATCAGCTTTGGATCTGCTCTTGATTATACTTTAAACTGAACTTGCATGCAAAATTTTACAAAATTTGCATTTCCGTGTTCTGCATCATTATCTTCTCATATATGACATATGACTTGTAAAACTGAATTGCTTTATGATCCATCAATTGGGGTAAGGGCTGAGTCAATTTAGTTGTAGGTTCAGTCCCTTTCACTATTTCAGCTTGTTTATAACCTTGTCCTGAGACATGCATCTCCTTCGGTGAGAGTTATTGGTAAATAATTGAGTTCGTGAGTTAACTAGTTATGCTTTTCCCATGTTTTAAATTGGGTACTATGCTTTTCCCATGTTATATGCATTTTTAGTTGGATGCATATTGATCCTGTTATCCTACTTTAAGCTGTTTTTATCTTGCATGAAATTTGCCTGTAAGGACTAATAGTCAACAAAATTAAAAAACAATTTCTTCTCTGTTGTTGTTTATCTCATACTAACTTATCGCCTTACCAGTCCATTGAATGGAATGAGGAACCAGCTGAAGAGCAGGGAGTTGAATCACCTGTAGGTGCAAGTGATGATATTTGTGTACAAAATACCGAAAGGAAAGAGGATAACATGGTTACTGTTACTGAAGAAAATGAATGGGACAGACTATTGCGTCTTAGGTAACAAACTATTCTATTGTCACCTATGTTCAGTGTTTTCATGTGTTATTACTGCTACTCTACTAATCTGCTAATAGGATTAATAAATCTGTATTCAAATGTATATATAGAGTGGATCTAAATGTGTTGTACATTAAAAGGAGTAAAATGAAATGAAAGATTTTAGAGACCAATTACTAACTTGAGATTTAAATGCCTCTGAATTGTCATTTGCAATTTTCCGGGCTTGTAGGTGGGAGAGATATCAAAGTGAGGAGGAAGCAGCTCTTGGTCGGGGGAAGCGCCTGCGGAAAGCTGTTTCTTACAGGGAAGCATATGCTGCACACCCAACTGAAACATTGAGTGAGGTACTTCAGTTAGACATATGCTTAAATGAAGCATAATCCTTTTTCTAGTCTACCTTTCATTTGTATTTGCAGTTTCACGCTGCTGCTGAAAATATCACTAAGAAAAACTTTCGTTTTCTTTTTCAACTGTATATACACTTTCTTAAAATATAAAACCCCCTCTATGACTGAATTTTATGTTGTAAATTGGCTGAGCTTGTTTCAGGCCTTCCACTTCTAACTTTTCTTTTGACTTGCATGGATTCATTTATGGTGCAAAGAGTTTTTTTACTCAGCGACCTGGACCATCTGGGCAATAGTTTGTTGCATAATTTCATTGGGTTAAGTTGCTTATCCATAGTGCTTCTAATAGTTTGCTTGTATAAGCAGAGTGGTGCGGAAGAGGAACGTGAGCCTGAACCAGAGCCAGAGCGGGAGTACACACCTGCTGGACGAGCTCTAAAGGCAAAGTTGTAAGTTCAGAATCTCTTCAAGTAATTCTACCATAATTTGCTTTAGTTCAGGAGTTGAGATTGATTTTATTGTGTAGAAAGCTGCCACACAATTGTCAAGCAGTTTTCCTAAGTACCTAGTTGTGTTTGGTAATAGGGATATACATGTCTAACTTTCACATTTTTGAGGTATGTGCGATTCATTTGAATCAAGCATTATTTAAATTTTAAGATTTTATAACTGGAGTCTTAACATATGGACTTTATCAAATTTGAACTTGATGGGGAGAGTACTACACATCAAGGGGAAAAACAAGTATTTTATTTTGAAGGGGAAATTATTTCAGATTTTAATGGACACCAAATTATTGAGTTGTAGGCATTTAAACTGGTTCAAGTATAATAGTAGTAAGTTTTCATGCATTGTTTGACAGTGGATTACTTTTTTATTTATTATTCAACAGTGCTAAGCTCCGAGCTAGACAAAAAGAACGGCTAGCTCAGAGGAATGCAATTGAGGAATCTCATCCTAGTGAGGGACTGCCTGTTGAGTCACTTCCTCCATGTCCCACCAATACTGCCAAAGATGGGGATCAAGCAACTGGACTAGTTCAATTTTTCAGAGAGAGGCCTTCAGTAATTGACTTGGAGGATAACAAGTTAGATGCTCCCAAGGCCAAGACTGACTCTCCCTTACGGTTGGGCAGACTATCAAAGCATAAAAGCAGCCGCCTTGATCTTTCTGTTAATCCTCTTGACTACCTGTCTCCCGACATTTTCTTTCCAAGTCACCAATCTCAGGGAACCAGCATGACCAACTCAGTGCCCCCAAATAATTTGTTACCTGTTCTGGGACTCTGTGCTCCCAATGCTAGTCAAATAGAATCATCAAATAAGAACTTCTCAAGGTCAAATTGCAGACAGAAAGGAGCTCGGCCAGAGTTTCCATTTAGTCTAGCTCCTCAGTCTGGGACTTTGTCTGAGACAGACGTAAATGGTGATGAAGTGAAATTATCAGGTGCATCAGCAGAAGTATCACGTCTGAAGAATAACATTCCCAATGGTGGTTTGCCATTTAGGCCGGTACTCTCTCTCTCTCTCTCTCTCTCTCTCTCTCTCTCTCTCGGCTTATAAGTTTTGTTGATACATGTGTGTTGCTTTATAATTTTTGTTGATACACGAATCATGATCATAATGCTTGGTCTGTTTGCAGTATCTTCAGGGAAACAGTTATGATCGTCCAGAAAGTTCTGGTGCTGCTTTTTCAGATTTCCAGGAGAGGATGGCACTGCCTAACTTACCATTTGATGAGAAATTGTTACCAAGATTCCCGCTTTCAACTAAGAGCATGCCAAGTCCACATTTTGACTTCTTGCCTAGCTTGTCATTGGGTAGCAGACTTGAACCTTCCAATGGCTCCTTGCAAGAACTTCCAACAATGCCATTGTTCCCCAATTTAAAACTACCCCCACAAGATGCACCCAGATATAATCAACAAGACAGAGAAGTGCCTCCCACCTTGGGTCTGGGACATATGCCAACTACATTTCCATCATTCCCTGATAACCACAGGAAGGTGCTTGAAAACATAATGATGAGGACTGGTCCTGGATCAAGCAACTTGTTTAAAAAGAAATCAAAAGCAGATATCTGGACGGAAGATGAACTTGATTTCCTCTGGATTGGTGTTCGTAGGCATGGAAGGGGCAATTGGGATGCAATGCTAAGAGACCCGAGGTTGAAGTTCTCGAAGTTTAAAACTTCGGAAGATTTGTCAGCTAGATGGGAGGAGGAGCAACTCAAGATTTTGGATGGGCCATCTTTCCCAGTGTCCAAATCAACCAAACGGACTACCAAATCCTCACAGTTTCCATGCATATCTGATGGGATGATGGCACGGGCACTGCATGGAAGTAGACTTGTCACACCTCCAAAATTTCAACCCCACTTGACAGACATGAAGCTGGGTTTTAGTGATCTTACATCTGGCTTTCCGCATCTTGAAGCATCAGATAGACTTGGTTTGCACAATGAGCAATTTCCCCCGATTCCTACCTGGTTTCATGAAAAATTCCGGGCAAATTTTTCCGGAGATTCTTCTGCTGGAGTTTCTGACAGACCAGGGACGTCTTCCAATGTTCCCATTGAGGAGCCATTTGTTGTCACTTCTTTTGGAACCAGTTGCTTGGGTTTGAATTCCTCAAGCAGCTATGATGTACAGAAGAAGGAAGATGAACAGGGTGCCTATAAGTATGGGAAGTTGCCTTGTCTTCTTGATAGATCACTGAATGTTTTACGTGATATGAATAATAATTTGGGAAGGGGAGAACCCACCAGTTCAGGATTTCTACCTGATCCCAAGAGGGGGCTTTTAAAGGGGAAAGATCTTGCTGGAAGTAGTTCTTCAAAGGACAAGCTACCCCATTGGCTACGGGAAGCTGTAAGCGCTCCTGCTAAACCCCCAGCACCTGACCTGCCACCCACAGTGTCAGCAATAGCTCAATCTGTTCGGTTGTTATATGGGGAGGATAAGAGAACTATTCCTCCCTTTGTGATTCCAGGCCCACCTCCTTCGCTACCAAAGGATCCAAGACGGAGTCTAAAGAAGAAAAGAAAGCAGAAATCACGTCTGTTTAGGCGGATTCCACCGGAAATTGCTGGAAGCAGCCAGGACTTCCAGAGCACGCACTTTGGTGACAATGCTTCAAGCTCCATTCCTATGGCCCCATCATTTCCATTGCTTTCACAATCAATGGTTGCAACTCCAGGCCTTTCACGGATTGAATCTGACCTCAGTGCGCCTCTCAGTTTAAATGTGGCAAACCCATCATCCTCATTGCCGCATCTGAATCATCAGAAGAAAACAATCATGGGAATGTCCCCTTCACCTGAAGTGCTTCAATTGGTAGCATCCTGTGTTGCTCCAGGCCCGCATCTGTCAGCAGCTTCTGGCATGGCAAGCTCAAGCTTTCATGACCCAAAGCCCTTGTTGCCAAACTCAGTTGACCAAGTAGGACTTTTGGACTCCCAAACTGCATTTGGAAGCAAGGAGGCTAAGCAGGGCTCACCTCTTAAGGTGTGTGATTCACTTGGGAAAGATAGAACATGTGATACTGAAAGTGGGGACTCCAGCAAGACTCAATCAGATCCCTCTAGGACAGAACGGCCCGATGTAGAGGAAATTTCTTCTGAGGGTACTGTCTCGGATCATCCTCTGAGTGATCGGGAACCGTAGCTGTAATATGGGATTAGAACATAGTTATTCTTTCATGTTATTCAAGTCTCCGATGTGCTTGAATTTTTGTAGGTTTTTGTAGTGATGATAAACTAGCCAATATAGGGTTTATTTAGGATATATAATGTTGTGTAAAGCTTATGTAAGAGAATGAAAAATATAGTGCTGCCTGCTCATTTAACCATGGACCTTGCGTCCCCCTTGTGTCTCATCAATGAGACAATATCTGAATAGTGATGCCCAATCAGTCGGCTTACTTCAGACCCAAAAAAAATCTGTTGGTTTACTTTTTCAATTTTTTTAAAGACTAGTTTTGGATTTATAATTTTCTGGTGGCCATCTTCCATATGGTGGTCTTGTGGAATTGCTGCTTTGTTTACAATGAGAGAGTTGTTTAACAGTCTGAATTGCGGCGTCGAGCAACCTTTATTCTCCATTAGTTTTGTATAAATTTGTTTTGATTTTTAAACATTTGGTCGGTTAAGTGACTTAAGAATCATTCATACAGATTAGAACTGGTGTGAAGCCGAAAAAAAAACAAAAACAAATAAACAAATAAAACCAATTTATAATCTAAAGTTAAAACAACTAATGATTCTCTTCATTTTGTTTTTTGTTTTTTTTTAATTCTCTCCTTGTATCGGACTCATATAATCTACTAAACTGGATGGGCAGCAAATAAAAAATTTCCTTTTTGTCCCCTATTCTCTCTCATCAAACCAGAACTACCAATTTTGTCTTTTGCTTTGTTTGGTATCCCTTAAAAATTTCATGTGGCCTGTTTACTTGCAATTTTTCTGCCTCACAGACAGTACAGATACAGAACCCTACCAATAGGAATTCAGGGGATGCCTAGGGACTTGGATAAGTGACCATTAACTTTGAGACTCTGCTGATTGTAAACTATACTTGACATCAACAAGATCAGAAGAACAACAAATCTGAAATCGAAGAAAATAAAACATGAAAGTAAAGAAGATGAAGAAGATGTAATCGAACTATATCTACTAGTCAGCCAGTACAAAAATGTATAAGCTAAAGTACCCATCAAGGTAGAAGCTAGAACAACCTCTCTCTCTCTCTCTCTCTCTCTCTCTCTCTCAATCTTAGATGCCAAACCCTCTAACAATATACAAAATACCCATTAAATCCAAGCCAAAGATACAAAGCTCAAGATCATTAGAATTGATATATATATATATATTTCTAGTGAGGAGTGGTGATCAGTTTTGGACCAGCTGAGGTTCTGATTGGTTGGCCACAAACCTGGAGGAGAAGGCATAGAACTTGAAGTAATCTTGATCATCTAACAAGTTTCCACATCCAGTTGCATCAAAGTTGAGAGAATAGCTCAATGGATCATAATGGCACTGGAATGAACTTTGTCTACTAGCAGCCCCTATCCTTCTCCTATGTTTCTTTAGCTTCCTCACCAGTTTGGCCAGACAGGTACAGTGGGATGATGAACTACTAAGACAATTAGCGGCCACGGCAGTACCCGCGGTTGAGGTGGTGCCGCCTTTATGACCACCAGCCTTGGTGGTGCATGTATTCTTGGGCCAAGAAATAAGCCACATTGTATACAAAATATATATTTATATATGTAGCTTCTCTAGTTATGTGTTGAATATAGATGTGTTTCTACTCTTTTGGAAATTGGAAGTGAGTGAATTGAAATGGAGAAAGTGATGTGGTACTGCAAGTGAGTTTGAGGGTGTATTTATAGGAAGTGAGGGGGGGGCTGAGGGAGGTGTTATCTCACTTCTCTTAAAGTTAAATTGTTAAACAACATAGGTTATACCAGTAGGTTGCATGCAAAGCCAAAGTTTGAAACTTTGAATGGTTTCGTTGTACTTTTGAATGTATAAAAAATGTGTCATCCACATGGCGGAAAGCCAATGTGAACCTTTTTAATTGGGTTCAAATGGAGAAAGTATACACTATTTCTCGAGCAATACACCATCTGATCAAAGATCCACAATCATCACATATTTCATATATAAGATGTAAGAATTATTGGTACAATCATCACATTCATAAAAGAATAAGAATTATCAGCCTGGTGCATTTCAAGTACAAGAATTCGCGTTTAATGAAAACACAATTCGGTTGAATATATGAAAACTGTATTATTCTTGTGATATACAAATTCTTTTTCAATAAAAGATAGAAACGAATGAACTCGTCAATTTAACAGCTACAAACTCATTCTAATTAAACGGAAATTGACATTATAGGAAAACCCTATTAGTGTTAATGATGGGATTTGTTGCAACTGAGGCTCCAACCGACATTTGAACGTAAAAGCAAGGTTAAGATGGTGAGTAATGACTATGATTAAGAGGAAAATGATTAAAGGTGGTGTAGGCAGTGATGCAGTGAGGCAGTGGCATCCCAATCTAATCCAAGTCTTTGTCAGAGAGGCAGAGAAATAATTTGACTGAGATGACCCAAGTGGGCAGCCTCGGTTGGTATAATATTCTTCGCGTGGGTCCCATATATCAACGAAACTGTCAACTCTAAGATCTGTGAATCCAATCCACCAGAATTTTGTAATTTTAATCTTTAGCAGAAAAGAAATAAAAAAAAAGTTATTATCAGAATTATATAATTGTTGTTTTTAAAGCCACACATTTGAGAACAATCCTTCATCAGGCAACTTAATACAAGAAAATGTTAAACATGCATAATCAATCTCATCTTAGTGTTAGTATTCTCTATTTTTCTTATATAACTTTCAACACGCACACACATACATATGTCATAAGTGAAGTTCGTATAAAATTTAAATGGTATATTTCATGCAAATCGTAGTTATCCGTTGTGTTTGGAAACAATTTTTATTGTAGATGACTAGACATTAAAGTGATTGACTCGAAAACCTTCGTTTGCTGGTTTACAATAACATTTGAGATTCTCTTACTCAAGTATCCTTTGACTAGAAGTAATTAAACAAAGAAAAAAAATACTTTAGAGTTATATGATTATATCTAAGGTTTGATTAATAATACATACAAGCAGGGATATTCTTATTCCCTATCTCATAATCACCCCGTTATGATTCTTATCATTCTCTCTCTAATGCAACAATGGAATAATTTGTTTTCGCTTCTCTTTTTCTTTTTGGGTAATTGTTTTCCCAGTTGACGCTAGAGTCTTAAGAATAAGTAACAACCAAGTTGAAAGTTGATAACGCGAAAAATCCAAGTACCAAAGTCCAATGTGTCAGAAAAACAAAGTTTTGTGAGTGTCTTGAAGAAAACATGCAAGAAGGCACAAGTCAATGGGGTGCGAGGCCCCGAGGCCTGAGGGCATCGATCACGTGGGTGGCTCTGATTAACTATCGGTTTTAATACTGAAAAAGAAACAGAAAAAAGTCGAAGAGTAGCCTCAGTTGCTACTGCTGCACATGGCCCCCTACCCTCCTTTGATGGGTTTATTTGGAGATCTATTATATTTCACTCGCTATGATAATTAATTGAGAATAACAAAATGGTGTAATCCTATGAGATGCAAGTTCTTCTCGTGTCGCTGACTCTATGCGTCCTCTTCTATGCCAAAGACATTCACTGGCTGGGTCACATTGATTGAAGTAAACAGGCCAAAAGCCAGAGATCTATCAGTTACTTTTTTCTAACACCGAAAGCAAAAGAAGACCTATTGCCTATACTGTTAGTTCTTTAACACATTTTTCTGCTTCTGGTTTCATTACATATACGGATATAATGAGGAGATCTTAGAGAAGTCTGGTCGGTGGTCACTAGGTCACTTGGCCATTTGGGCACGGTAAGATGTGATTGAGCATAAAATCTAAGTGCACTTTTGAAGTTCTGTTTGGACCTCTCGTAACCGGTTAGATCATTGTGGTGTGCTGGTAAAAGAGCAGGATATTGAGATGTGAGGAGGTTAATTAGAGTTCATAGAGATAAAGCATTTTGTTCTTCAATTTCCTCCAATAAACAAAAAACAAAAAACAAAATGTAAAAGACATGATGAAATATACTGTATGTATATATGTGGGTGACATGAGGAAATCGAACTTGAGACTTCCTCTAATATTGTAAAAGAGAAGTATCATTAGACCGACAGCTAGTTGATATTGTTCTCTACAAGAGTCTCTTTTTGTTATGTATATAAATCGCATATATTTTTAAGGTTATATATTATGTTTACTAATTCGTAATAGAGTTATTCTACAATAGAATAACCTTATTATTGTGCTCATAATTCGATAAAAAAAATTGATTTAATGTATATAATTTCTCTTTTTGTCAAGCATTTTGTATATTAAAATGAAATGTGAAAAACAATACTATTAAATTGACCAACAATATAATAAGAACTAGCGTTGCACATTCTTACAACATGTGAGAGCATGAATATCATATTTATATATGTGATGAGTTCCCGATTCATGATGAGATCAAAAGTGCATATATATTTTCTAATTTCATAATATATATATATATATGTGCTTAGGATCCTATGACAAATACTTTTATAGGTTTATAATGTTTATAAGTTCTTCAAGCTGAGGCGGGTTTTATTTTGCTAATGATTCGGAATGGCATAAAAATTAAAATAAACAGTAAAAAAGAATAACAAAAGCAAAAAAAGAAAAGGGAGAGAGGCATGGGCTTCCATTCTTCCTTTGCCACTGTACTCTTCTGCCATGGTCATTTCCATCAATCCATATGCAGGAAAACATCAAAGATAGACAATGTGCTCTAGACACTAACAAGAATAAAATAATTTTAATGGAGATATGAACATGGGTCTGCCTTCATTTTGGCGAGAGGAGATTCTCAGATGGCCCAAATTTGCAAGAGAAAATATATATATGATGAACAGATTTTCAGGCAATTAATTTATGAGAGAAGAAAGTGGGACAAAAATGCTGTGAACGCAGATGAATTGAAATGTATAGATTTCCACTTCTCACGTACACATTTTCCTAGAGTCGCATAATTGTCTCGGTTTGTAGACATCCTTCTCTTCAGAGTTTTACTTAAAGGGTGGATTTTGGTCCCACTTTTTCTAGTCAAAAAATTATAGTGATGATCATGAAATTAAGGTTTAAATGTTAAAATTATGATAATATAATAGCATATCTGCTGCAAGATTCTTCTCTCTCTCTCTCTCTCTCTCTCTCTCTGCATGTGGCTAGAACATGCTCTTTACAAGCATAAAATATACAAATATATTTATGGATCCATACGTTGTACTTTTTACATTGGTAATGAGCCTAGTGGCTATGTCAAAGGGATTTTCAAAGTCTATGTATATGGCTGCATTGATCTTCTCCCCTCTCTTTTAGCATTCTTTATAAGGCTAGCTAGCTAAGGGATCATATTCAAATTGGGGTCTGTGAACTTGGTGGTGCATAAATATAAGTAGGGTTAAATTTAAACCCACATTCCAAGTCAACCGACCACTATTGTGTAGGGTAATTGACCCTAGATTAGAGGGTAGGTGCATATGCCACAAGGGCTCTTCCCAAGATAGTATTTTCTTTTGCAATCCATTAATTGGTTTCTGTAAGAAATTAGCACATTGTAAGAGTATCTCCGAGGAAAGAGGCAAAAGAGTAGGCGAATCTCATTTATCTTGTTACATTAGCATTTTCATGCTCCAAATATTGGAATTGGAAACTAATATGAATGAAAACTGTTAAATAATTTGATTGATGCATCATGAAAGGATTTGCCGCAATTGAAAGGAATATAGCTTCACATGTGAAGCCCCTTAATCAACAGACAAACTATTTTTGTTTTATTTATTTATTACTTTATAAACTTAAATGATTAACAACAAAACACACATAGTTGAAATGTGATATGTTCTGAAAAAGCATGACATGAAAATCAGCAGGCGATACCATTTAAGAGCCTAGACCATGGTATTTAGGTTCAAATACTGACAAAGTAAAAGAATATGAAAATAATTTATTTGTACTCAATTGTATAAAACAGGTATTTCACATATAATTTGAGGTGCCACTGACTTTATATAATTAAATGTGAGACATCATCGTAAGACATCCATTCATAAAACGCGACGTGCAACTTTTTTTTATAAAAAATATAATGTGAAGTGAAATATACACATTCTTAAACCTAAAAATCTTACTACTTGTGAACATTGTATATGAATGAACACAATGTATCTAGGCACTAGCAATATATGCATCGAGTCTATTACAAAGATTATTTAAAGAAACAATGTAATTATAATAGCAGGATTTAATGGGTTATTTCTAGGGTTTGCCACTTTGCCTACGATGCCCTCTTTCTCGATTTCCATTCATTTAGCAAAGAACCTGAGACAACTTGAGATTCTAACCATGTTTATTAAATGATCACCTCTCAATTAACGGTTACTTTAACTCGTTAAAATATTGGATGCCGGTGGAATTTTTTAAAACTCAAATATAAATGTCTTGGTTAATTGAAACTAGTTGAAAAGTAACACTTTAATTATAATTTATTTTGGGTTCAATTCACTTGGAAGTGGGAACCATTCTAGAAACATCACAAGAACAGCAAATGTAATGAAACTATGCAGTGCATTCGATTAA